ACACTCACTCGCTCACTCACTCACTCACTCACTCACTGACTCACTCACTCACACACTCACTTACTCACACACACTCACTCGCTCGCTCACTCACTCACACACTCACTTACTCACACACACACACTCACTCGCTCACTCACACACACGCTCACTCACTCGCTCGCTCACTCACTCACTCAATCACTCACTCATTCACTCACTCACTCACTCACTCACACGCTCGCTCGCTCACTCACTCACACACTCACTTACTCACACACACACACTCACTCGCTCACTCACTCACTCACTCACTCACTCACACACACACTTACTCGCTCACTCACTCAATCAATCACTCACTCACTCACACACACACGCTCACTCACTCACTCGCTCGCTCACTCACTCACTCAATCACTCACTCACACACTCACTCACTCGCTCGCTCGCTCACTCACTCACACACTCACTCACACACACTCACTCACTCGCTCGTTCGCTCACTCACTCACACACTCACTTACTCACACACACTCACTCGCTCGCTCGCTCGCTCACTCACTCAAACACACTCACTCACTCAATCACTCACACTCACTCACTCACTCACTCACACTCACTCACTCACTTACTCAGTCACTCACACTCGCTCGCTCACACACTCACTCACTCACTCGCTAACTCGCTCACTTATTTACCTAACATTTCTAAATTAAGTTTCTAAAGTTTAACGATTCCAATTCTTATTGATTCCAATAAGCTAAAAAACCCTTAAATTTAATGTACATTTATCATGAACAAAGATCAACAGGCTGAAGAACACTTACAGGAGCGTTTGCCCGTGGTTTAAAAACTCCACAGAAGAACAACTATCCGAACTAATATAAGCTTCAAGCATTATTAAAGACACTCAGTAATTAAAAAAGATCAAATAAAATATTTGCAATCGAAACAAATAGATTCAATTGAACATTTAAGATGAAAGAGTTTTAAGATTTTCAGCTGTTCTGGTACAAAATCTGTAATCAAATGTAAAATAACACTCTACTTTATAAATAAAATATACATTACAAATATAGAAAGTGACTCAGTCAAGAACGAGTGAAGTTTGTTGTGTGATTAGTGTTATTGTAGAGAGAGACGGCAGGAATATGAGCGCTGTCACTTTAAGAGCTGCACGGCTCCGACACACACGAGCACAGAGTCTCTCGCACTCGAATGCTTTAAAGTCATATTGACATTTTCACAGAGGAATCGAAATGTTAATTTTAAAGCAAGTATTTGATTCCAGACCTGTCCGTCTCTGCTGTTGCCTAGGTGACCACACTCACAGCTGTCAATCAGAGGGGCCTAAGAAAGATCCGCCTCCTCGAGTCGTCTGCTCGCCTTCAGAGAAGATCCACCGGTGTCCGTACGAGAACTGCCAGCGCACCTTCACCTATCCTGCACACCTGAAGTACCACCTGAAGACTCACAGGTAACACACACACACTCACAGATACGCTGTGTTTTGGCTATTTTAAGAAATATTTTACAGTAATGACAACAATTTTGTGGGTTTAATTGTCATGAAAATAATGTGACAATGCAAGATAAAAATTTGTATATCGAGTGAAGCGCTTCAGGAGCAGGAACACATGTGGGCGGGGCTTGATTGTGTCTGTGGGGAACTGATTAGATGGTTGTGGTTCGCTATTGGCTGATCTCATGTGAGTGACAGGTTATAGCCCCGCCCACATCATCAGAGAAGAGATGCTGCAAGACGAACTGATTCTGTTTCAACATTATTAACACAATAATGATAAATCATTTATAATAAACACTGCAATATTCCAAAAAACAAGAATTGTCCATGTTTTGATTTTGTGTGTTTCTGATATATTTCTGATAGTGTGTGTGTGTGTGTTTCAGGAATGACCGCACGTTCCGCTGCGGAGCCGAGGGTTGTGGGAAGAGTTTCTATGTTCTTCAGAGGCTTCAGGTTCACATGCGGATCCACAACGGAGAGAAACCCTTCATCTGCAGCGAGAAGAACTGTGGGAAGAGATTCACCACTGCTGGGAACCTGAAGAACCACCGGCGCACACACACCGGTACACACACCGGACTCAGCATTATTATATTCATACGTGAGGATGTTTATTTACACACCAGACATCATTTCTGACGTTTCACTTACTCGCATAAATCAACTATAAAGTAAACTGTAAGATATTACACCCAAATATGAGTATAAATATAACTTTCATTAAAAATACTGGACCAAATATGTTTCCTCCACTGTGAGCTGATGATGTTCTGCTGAAGTGTGTTTTCTGTCATTCACACACACACGCACGTTCAGTGGTTCATTGGTCACTGGTTGAGCTAAACTGGTCTAATTGAACAGCTGACAGATATTCAACATAATTCATGTGTGAGAGTCCAACAGAAGGACGGACAAAACCAGTCACACATCCACTGATCTGAGACCTGAGTTCTGCTCATCTTTATAAACTGATGATGATGTCGGAGTGTGTGAATAGATTTAATGATACATTTCCTGTACAACAATACTCTAATGGTCAAAAGTTTGGAATAATCAAGATTTTTTAAAATGTTTTTGAAAGAGTCTCTTCTGCTCACCAAAGCTGTGTTTATATGATCAAAAATACACGAAAAACTGTGAAATATTATTAGAATGTGAATAATATACAGTAAAAGTGTAATTTATTCCTGAATTTATCATCATTACTCCAGTCTTCAGTGTCACATGACCCTTCACAAATCACTCTAATATGAGGATCTGATGATCAACACACAGTTATGATTATTATAAACAGTTTAAATATTTTGGAAACCATGATACAATTTCTGATCAAATAAAACACTTAATCATCAAAGATGAATTAAATTGAGCAAAAGTGACGGTAAATACATTTATAAAGATACAAAATATTATATTTCAGATAAAACAGCTGATTTACAGCAGAATAATATTTCACTGTTTTTACTGTATTTTTCTTGCAGCCTTGGTGAGCAGAAGCTCTAAAACGTTAAACAAATCTTGATTATTCCACTCTACGCTTACAAGTGATACTGTTTGCTTGTTAGTATTATTGTAATATTGTCCGTCTGTGTGGGAATCGCTGGTGTTTTCAGGTGAGAAGCCGTTCCTGTGTGACGTGGACAGTTGCGGTCGATCCTTCGCAGAATACTCCAGTCTGCGCAAACACATGCTCGTGCACTCCGGTACGTCACATGACCGGGTTGTAAATCACAGTATTGTGTGTTTGTAATTATAGTGTTGATGACTGAGAACAATATCACTTTCATTCAGATGTTTTTTAATTCCTAGCGGCACTGTTTTCATGTGGAAATAAATCAGATTGGCTGATTTTTGTGCCACAACTCTGAAGTAAACTGGTGTGTGTGTGATGTGTGTGTGTGTGTGTGCAGGAGAGAAGCCTCACGTTTGCTCGATCTGTGGGAAGACGTTCTCTCAGAGCGGCAGCAGGAACGTCCACATGAAGAAGAGGCACAGCAGAGAAACCGGTAACAGATCATATTCATAACCATAACCATAATCATACATGTGTGACGAGCTGATGTCAGTCTGAGGGGGCGTGTCTCTGTGTGATTGACAGGTGAGGCGCTCACTCACAGCAGTTTGCTGGAGGCTGATGGAGGCAGTGACTCGATGGTGAACATGAATCTGCATCACGGCATGTTACGAACACACGGTACAGTCCACACACACACACACACACACACACACACCACGAGCTTCGGATGACGAGACCACGCCTCTGCAACGCACCAATGTTTATAAATGCCAATATTATTCGTTAACAAACAAATATTCATTACTTCAATGAGCTCTGTGTTTATGCACTTAATTATTACATTAAATGAATACATGTTTCGCTAACGGTGATTTTGTATATTTCTGAAACGCATAACTCTGATAGCAGATCGCTGTACACTGTAAAGCTGCTTTGAAACGGTGTGTGTTGTGTAAAGCGCTGTACAAATAATGTGGATTGAATTCTCTTCTCACTCCAGATTCGGCGGATGCGGTTCTGACTCCGCCTCCTGACCTGGTCACCATGACGACAGCACACGCCTACAGTGATGACGTGGTGGCGCTGTTGTAGTTATTGCTTTTGTAAATAAACTATTTTATGAAACTCATCGTTTTCAATTTCATGTGTTTATTTATCAATCCTTTTTGCATCATTTTGTCGATGGAAAGATTTCAGGAAGAGGAACGGAACGGTTTCGGAAATCTAAAAATCTTTGAAAAAGGAACCAATAAAGATTAAGAAGAGAGAGCGAATTGGAATTTTCGACTGGGAATTTGCGACTTAGAATTCCGACTTGGCAACTTTATAATTGCAAATGATGACTAGGAAATTTCGAGTAGGAAACTTATGGTAATTTTGATAGCATATGAAGGCAGCATCACGTGAATAAAACAAACAAAACACTTCAAATGATTATTCATATATGTAAATATGCACGACTTTAACAACAATACAAGATGTTGCGGGAAAACGAATAAAGAATATCAGTCGTTCTCTCTCCGCCATGCTGGACGTTTATGACTCAAACTCGAGTCAAAATGATCTCATCAGCGGCGCGAGGCGGGCAAGTGACGTCACTCTGTAACTGTTCGCTGCTCCCGCGGTTTTTCCTTTGCCTAATGCAGCGATGAGTCATCGAAGCGTGCCTTAATTCATCGGGAATAACGTGGGCAGTAATCAAAGTCCTTTTATAATAGTCTCTGGCAGTTATACAGTGGAGCTTTTTCAACAGAACATGTTCTCATACAATTAAAGATACTAGGCTATGTCATTAATATATACAGTGAGTTCATCTTTGAACCGAACAAAATTTTACAATACAAAAAGACCACTTTAATAAATAATCTATTTTTACTTTTTAATCGAATAGTTTCGAACAAAATTTCCTTTGGTAAAATCACTTTAACACACGTGACGTCGCGAGCGGCATAATCCTCCAGGAAGTGACGTCATCTTTCGGAGGGAAAACAACCATGCGTTAAAAGTGAAATCGATGAATTCTGTGGTGTTTTGTGCTGTTATTCATATAGTTTGATGATCAAATGGGACAAACCAGATTGATCAACATTTCAAAATGTGTTCAAAAGTTAAAGTTGACCTCCTCAGGTAAGATGAATGATGCAATTTGGTGCCTTAGTTTTGGCCATCATAAATAGTAGAAAGTCAAAGAAATGCTTGTGCAGTCGGGTGATGTAAAACAAGTCAAACTCTAAATGAATTTAACCAATAATTATCAAAACAACTGAAATGGAAGAAGATCAAAACCTGTTACTTTTTAAAGCACTACATTGATACTCCTGTCAAATTTAATTGTCACTGAATTATTAGTTTTTTTTTCTAGCTGATTTTATGAAATTATTTATAAAATTAGCTGCTTAACAACATCATAACAGGGTAGAGAAGTGGAATGAAGAATGAATGGACATTTCACTTTATGTAATAACTGGATTTAGATGGGAAACATTAACAATATGTAAAACATTGCCAATGAACTTTAAATGCACTACTTCTTCAACTTAACACAAATTGTTTGGATAATCTCAAATTTAATACACACTTAAAAACACTGGGTTTAAAACAAACCAATTTGCGTTGTTTTCAACCCAAGGGTTTGGGGAAATATAGGCCAGAACACATGTTGGGTTAATTTAACCCAGCATACTGGGTTGATTTATTTTTACTATAGCACTAGCTTTTACATTAATTAATGTTTAAGAATCAACTTTAATACTTTAAACTTAAATAATGATATTGATACTTGCTTTATTTTTGATTATATTTTACAGTATAGCATATTTTATATAGTCGTGAATACACATTGCATACATTTAAGCGTATTTAACAAATATCTTAGAAGTAAAAATGAAACAAGTTACACAAACTACCCAAACACTGATAAAATAACCCACACAATTGAGAGAATTAGAGAGAATCTTTACTGATATTCCTGACAATGGAGAAAATTGTGAAGATTGGCGCCAGAGAAATGATGATATGTGGAGGTTCAAAAATGCTTTAAAATGTTTCTTTTAAAAACTTTATTGTGCTTATAGAGCTCGAATGGTGTTATTTATGATACGCTTGATGTTGCTCAACATTTTAAGGCAGTAAGATCATGATCTGAACTGGAATCACCAAGTTATAAAGATGTACGATCTTTAGCATGATGATAATATTTCTCTGTACTTCTACTGTAAATCATAATACATTAATATGTCATCTTTCACAGTCTATCAATCAATCTATATGTTTAATATCTTCATTAAAACCCGGCTGTATTTCTCCAGTCATGATCGATTCAGCTTTACAGTAATAAACAGATCAATAACAGAATCAATGATATAATTATCCAGCAATATTACCACTTTTAAATTATTCATAAAAGTGGTAATATTGCTGGATAATTATAGTTTCAGTAACACAATATGAACTAACTAATGTGTTAGTTCACAGTGCATTCACTTATGTTTAAAGATTTTAATAAACATTAATAAATGCTGTATAATGATATAATGCTTTATTGAAATGACAGTTGTAGTTTTGATGGAGTCGGAGATCTCTAATTACTTCATGCTGTTCTTTTGCACTTTACGTTGATCATGTGACACTGAAGAGAGTAATGATGCTGACAACTCAGCTTTTAATCACAGAAATAAATTATATATTCAAACAGAAAACAGATATTATACTTTCTGATAATATTTCACAATGTAAATGCAGTGTGTGTGTGAGATGGGCATCTGTGTATTAGTGCACACAGCTTTATTCATGCGTGGTGTTGATGGAGTCAGAGATCTCTAATTACTGACGCAGAGAACTGTTTCCAGCTCATAACTCATAAGTTTATTGCCCATCAGCACGTCAGCGCTGAAGACGAGGAGCTCCGTGGAGAAATCAGGAGGAACCCAAGGCATCAATTACAGCGTTCCCAGTTCTCCCAGATCTCCCAGTTCTCCAGTTCTCGTGCTGCTCTCGGGTCAGCGGCGGGCGATGGAGGCGGTGAGGATCGTGCTGTCGGTGGCCGGAGGCGCGGGGAACGCGGCGCTAATGCTCTCGCTCCTGCGCAGCGCGCGGCTGAAGCCCTTCGAGATGTTCCTCCTCGGCCTGAGCGTGGCCAACCTGGAGGAGATCGCGGCAGTGGACGTGTACAGTGTGCTGGTCTCGCGCTCCGCCGTCAGCGCCAGCTCTGGGTGACACACACACACACACACACACACACACACACACACAGCTCATTTAGAAATGTTTTGCATAGGCTTTCAATGCATTGCTCTAATACTTGCTGAGAGCAATTTATGTCCAAGTAATGAAGTGAAAGTTAAAAATGACTGACTTTTATTTTATTACTTTCAGTGCATTTGTACTATCACTCGATAGGCATGCTTGCGGTCGCTAGTGCACTTCGAGTGTGTGAGGGAACTCATTTTATTCTAAGTACACTCTAAAAAATTCTGGGTTGTTTTAACCCAAATTTGGGTCAAATATGGACAAACCCAAAATGCTGGGTTAAAAATGTAATGTAAAAATTTAACCCAACAGCTGGGTTAGTCCATATTTGACCCAAAGTTGGGTTAAAACAACCCAGCATTTTTTAGAGTGTATGTTTTAGTTGTAATTAAACTGTAGTAAAGCTTAACTTTAAGTGTGTTTAGTGTACTTTTGTGCGCTAAAATGGAATAACTTCAAGTAAGTGTATGGGACTAATGACATGCTTGATTATTAGTGATATTAAAGTGTGCTTTATTTGTGTTATAAATTCATTGCGAGTGTCTTTGAAACACAAGCGATATGCCTGAAGTGTATTATATTTGAGTGACGAGTATAAGCTCAGTATTATCTTTGGCTTTTTCCAAACACTACAAATTGCACTTTGTCTTCAATAAGAAATCCACATTAATAAACAAACACATAAACATACACTTTATTTAGAAATGCTAAATAAATGTATTTAGAATAGGGTTTCGGTGCATATGCTTTAACACTTTCAATGCATTTTTACAATTATCATTTCAGCACACTGTTAAAATATATTTGTAAGTAAAGTGTAAATAAACACACACAGGTATAGCCCTACACACACACACACACACACTCTTAAAAAGGTTCCAAAGCGCTACGTATTTGGAACCCCTAAAATGCAATGCATGTGAATGATAACAATATTCAAGATATGGGGGTTAAAAAATGTAATTAATCAATATCACACAAAGAGTGCCATTTCAGTTTTTATCCTCCAAAAATCTGCATGATTAAAATGTGATATTAAGTTACTCCAACAGTTTAATAAACAATAATTTAATTACAACTACAAAATGTTGCAGAATAATGTTAATATATGAATGAATAATAGCCTTTAAAGAACTTTTGTGCCAAAAGTGTTCTTTCTTGTCATTATTGAACCTTTTTTTTAGCATAAAATGTCCTTTGGAGTTGAGTAAGAGTGACTAGGCTCGTCTGACCGGTGTACTGGAGCGTGGGGTCGAGAGGAACGGGTTTATTGTCGGATATGCACTGAATCTGTCATCTTTAATCATCAATAAGCCACACTTGTATTTTCTTTCTTTTTTCTTCTGGGTATTATTATTTAAGATGATTTTGTCTTTTGTTTTGCTTTGTTATAATATTGTCTTGAAACTAATAGATGAAGTATTAAGGGGTGTAACGGTTCGGTTCGATACAGCAAAAAGAAAGAATTGCCTTGATTTAATTTTTGATTATATTTTATTAAAACAAACATCATAAAGTATGATATTTTTTTTTACTTTGAGCAATGATGGACCTACACTTGACTTTTCTTATGAGCATATAAAACAAAACAGCTCCTTGGACAAAATCAAATGTAGAATGGTGAATGTTGTTGATCTGCGGACACTGGATCGTTCGTTTATGACGCAATGTTTCTCCTGGTTTCCACGTCAGCGCTGTTTGATCCGTTAATAACGGAGAAATGTGAATGTTTCTCACTGGATCTCGCAGCGATGTTATTACTTCAGTGGCGAACTCTAAAGTTTTCTTTACTGGATTTGGCTGTGTAACAGTGCTGATGATCAAGATCGGCAAGATCGGTTCCACTTACAAGTAGTGGTCACGACAGCGTCTCATTATGAGCGAACTTGCCATGCGCGACATGCTTACACTGGATGGGCAACGATTAATCGCATCCAAAATAAAAGTTTGTGTTTACATAATACATGTGTGTAGTGTGTATAATTAATTCGTATATATAAATACCCACACATGTATGTGTATATTTAAGAAAAATGTGTTATTAATATATCAAATATTTATATTTTTATATAATATTAATTATGTATAAATATATATAAAGTATATACATGCAAATATTTCTTAAATATATACGTGCATGTGTGTGTATTTATATATACAAATTAATTATACACACTACACACACGTATATTATGTAAACATAAACTTTTATTTTGGTCGGCAGGAAAAAACGAACCGTTCGGTACGAATACGTGTATCATTACACGTGTCTTGTTACACCCATATATATATATATATATATATGAAAGTAGCCTGTATTTTTCTACATTATATACTTAAAGTCCCCGTGAACCGGAAGTTGCAAACGATTTTTCTCCAGTGCTGTGACGTATTTCCAAGTGAAGCGGAATATTGAACAGAGGGCAGGGTTTGACTCTAGCGCTCCTCCTCTCCATCTCTCGCTCATAGCAAACTGGTTTGAGGGGAGTGGTTAAGCGTTTCCCCACCCAAACTGAAACCTACGTCATCAGAAAAAGAAACCGTTCCAGACCGGAAGTAACTTTTCAGATTTTGATTAAAGATTACTAAGGTAAAACATTTTTTTAATATATATTCACTTGCACGGATTAACTGTTCACCACAAGACTAGTAATATGCGCTAACAAAGTAAATAGGTTCAATTTTGATTTCACGGGGACTTTAAGCAAAATTATTTTAAAGTGCATTAAAAGTTGTATTGTGAAAATGAGTAAAAGCATGATGCTAACTCTTAAATCATATTGTGGAGGTTTAAATTACTCAAATTGACCCCAGTGGGTAAAAACTGTTATCAGATTTGAGGGTAACAGGAGGATTAAAGATATATTTTTTAGTTATCCAGGCGTCTCTTTCCTCTGTGGTCTGCAGGAGGTGCCGAGACCTGAAGTTCTTCACCCTGGTCGGGGAGATCGGGAGCATCTTGTTCACGGTGGTCATCAGCGTGTACCGCTGCCAGAAGCTGCGCATGCGCGTGAACCGGCCCGTGTTGCTGGACGGCCGGGGTCCGGCCCGCGCGCTCGCCGTGTCCTGCGCGGCACTAGCGCTGCTCTTCGCCTCTCCGACGCTGCTCATAAACCTGGACTGGGGTCACTCCAACGCCTCGTCTCGGGCCTGCCCGGCGGATTTCTTCCAGTGCTCGTCCTCCCAATGCCCGACTCGGAACCGGATCTACAAGTACTCGTTCCTCCTGCTGTTTATCCTCGTCCCCCTGCTGGTCGTCACGCTCTCCGGCGCCGTGATCATGCGCATCCTCGTCATGCGCACTGCCTTCGCCAATCGCGAGTCCCACGGTAAAGCACTGTAAACATCTGTACAGATGAACTTAAAATATACTACAACTTCAGGATATTGAATAATGTATTTTGAAAGTATAGCTACTTTCAACGCATTTTTACAATTATAATTTTCGCGCTCCTCGTTCAGTTATACTTGCGGCCTGACTGATTCAGTACTATATATTTCAAGTGTGTTAATGATTAGTTAACCAATTAGTCCGGATCCTGATCCTCCGCAGTTTAAAGAATTAACGTGATTTTAACGTTAAAAATGCTACAGTGAAAAACTGTTAATTGGTTCCGTACCATATACGGTACTGTTACTGTGATAGATCTAACCGTACATTTCATGTAATTTTACAGTTAAAACTTACAGTTTTTGGAAGTGAAAAGAACAAGTTATTGTATAATTTACAGTGAAAAACCTTAAATTGATATTCCTACCATTCCCCTTGTTTTTTACTGTAAATTTAAGTTAAAGGAGAACTCCGGTGCAAAACAAACGTTTGGTCTAATAATACATCGGTACCTAGTCGACCGTTCTCTGAGATTTGTTTTCATGATAATCGAATATAAAGAGTTTTTTCTCTAAAATCTGTTTCGCGTTTAACGCTAGTATATAGGGCATTGAGTAATGAAAAATAAAATTCGCAAATTTATACATTCAAAATTGTATAATTGTATGTATTTATTTATACATGCATACAAAACAAATCTCTGAGAACGGTCGACTAGGTACCAATGTGTTATTAGACCAAAGGTTCGTTTTGCGCCGGAGTTGTCCTTAAAGTCTGTAAAACCTCAAATATTTTTACCGTATTTGTTTAAGTTTAAATTTAAGTCTGTAAAGCCTAAAATATTGCTACCATGTGTTTTTACTGTAAATTTAAGTAAAGTCTGTAAAACCTAAAAAGTTGATACCGGTATATGTTTGGTTACTGTAATTTACCGTAATTGTTTTTACAGTGCTGCAGAGAGGCGTGTCCGGGTTCCAGCGCAGCACGGTGGCCATCCTGGCGGCCATGACGCTCTTCCAGCTGAACTGGACTGTGTACCTGGTCCTGCAGCTGGCCTTTGACCCGAACACACTCCCGTCCTGGTCCCAGCTGGAGTTCCTCGTCACCAGCTTCTACTCCGCCGTCAGCCCGTACGTGTACGGCATCGGCAACAACCTGTTCAGCCGCACTCGCTTCACCAGAACGACAGGGGCTTAGTGTAGAAACATGTTTCATATGCAACCATAAGGAGATATGAAGCTGTTTACACACACACACACACACACACACACACAGTTACACTTTCCAGCGAGTTCTGTTTGTCAACATCAGTTAACGTGATGAACTATAAAACACATGTTCATTTCAACTTATGAAGTCCAGAGGTGAGATTCCCCACAACTTCCATTAAACCATCAACATTTGTCATGTTTTACTGCTTTATTTACTAGAGGTTTAGTCATTTTTGTTTAAACATTTCAGAAATAAACTCTGTTGCATTAATTTCCTGATATATCGCTTTTAAGCTTATTTGAAACACTCAGAGGTTTAGAAAATGGGATTTTTGTGGGGGGGTTTTTACATTGTGACGGTTTTGTGTGTGTGTGTGTGTGTGTGTGAGAGAGAGAGTTGCAGTCATATCTGGAGATGTGAATGACTGAAGCGTGACCTCATTAAACAACCAAACGCAGTCTGGAAGAATCGCTTTATAACTGGAGTTATGCATTACTATGTCAAGTCATAATTCATGTTGTTAGTGGTATTGATAAAGCACAAGCCAACATTAGCGCACTCTTTTCTGTAAAGATCTAATACAGTGATATTACAGTAATAAGGCAGTCAAAGTCTTCTGTGTTTAAATACAGGTTTAGAATAATTCAGATTAAGATTATTGACATCTCATCTGCTCAACAAGACTGCATTTATTTAATGAAGACAGTGAAATATTAGTAGTGTCTTATACCGTGATGCACTATCATTCAAAAGTTTGGGGTAAGATTAAAAAAATAATACTTTTATTCATTAAGGACGCATTAATTTGATCAAAAGTAACTTTGATCACAGGAATAAATTGCACTTCACTATATATTCACTAGAACACATCTGTACAGTCTAGGCCTAATAATATTTCACTGTTACTGTATTTTTGCTTTAATAACTGCAGCCTTCTCTTTCAGAAACATTAAACAATCTTAATTATTCCATTACAGTAGGAAGCCCAAAAGTGTGCGCGAGTTATAATTATTGACACCTAGACACTGTAAAAGGTGAATATTATAATGAGGATGAGTGTTGCTCGCTGATTGGCCGAGGGGGCCGCGCGCATCAGCATGCGAGTGTGTGATTGGTCCTCGTGGAGTTGGGCGCAGAAGCAGGAAGAGAAACAGCCGTGGACGAGCAGCGCGGATCCTCGACGCTCGCGTGTTTTACTGGTGAGTGTTTGTGCAGATCCGCGGGAATAAACACACGCGCCGCGTCTCATGCGTTCACCTGCACCGACGCCTCGACCAACGCGCGCGGATCGAGGGCGCTTTATTAGCGTCGTGATGACGCGAGCTATAAGTTGATCTCGCGTTGCGCGCGCTCGCGTTTTAATGTCACCTGATGGTGTTGTTGTTGTTGGGCAAGTGCTTTTTTCTGCTGTATGATGACATCAGCATCGCAACAAACATTACGACGTCACAAACTAACAAGTGTGACGTCACGACCTGTAACAACTTCTAAACCCTCGCGCGCGCGCATGTGCGTTACGCATCAGCTGCTCCTCATTAACATAACGTTACTTTAATATTCACACAAGTAACATAAACGTGAACTGTAGTTGTTGCTCTGGTCGGTGGTCACTGTTAAAATGTTTCTAGGTCAGTTACAGCGGTCGTATCTGAAGGGTTGGAGGTTCGAACCCTGCACGATCTAGACGGAATATTGTTATTTCATGTATCTTTAATTATTTTTCTGTCAGTTTTTATTGCTCTCCTTAATGCTGCTCGGATGGTGTTTGAACATGTCTCAGTATTGCAGACAGAACTAAAGTGACTCTGTGAAGTGATGCTGTCAAACTTCATCAGAACAGCATCTGCACTGTATTCGCCTAGTGTGATGAAACATAATTATCTCTTCCGAAGCTCTTAGTTACATTTACAAAATATTATTATTATTTTCAGCATCATTACTCCAGTCTTCAGTGTCACATGATCCTTCAGATATCACTCTAATATGAGGATCATGATCAAGACACATTTATGATTATTATCAGTGTTGAAAACCGTTGTGCTGCTTCAGATTTGTGAAGAAACTTTGATAAACTGCCGTTCAAAAGTCTGAAAAAGAAATCAATACATTTATTTATCAAGGACTTTTAAAGACATTTATAAAGTAACAAAAGATTCTATTTCAAATAAATGCTTTTCTTTTGAACTGAAAGAATCCTGAAAATGTTTCACAGTTTGTGTTCAACACTGATGATAATCATAACTGTGTGTTGATCATCAGATCCTCATATTAGAGTGATTTGTGGAGGGTCATGTGACACTGAAGACTGGAGCAATGATGATAAACTCAGGAATAAATTACACTTCACTGTATATTCACATATAAAACAGATGATTTACATTAGAATAATATTTCAAAATGTTTACTGTATTTCTGATCATATGAATTCAGCTTTGATCACAGGAATAAATCCCTTTTTATCCCGTAGGTCTTCTCCGGAAGCATGTTATGACCCACGCTCGGAAAAAAGGCTCCCTCGGCCAGTGTCGTGGCGAGGGGTGGGGCCACGTGGAGGGCGGGTCACATGGTGAAACTGTGGGCGGAGCCTGGCCTGCGCGATCAATGGTGAAGAAAGTCGAGGCCAGGAATCGTGAGCGGCATGAAAGTCAAAAACGTTCATTGAAAATGGTTGAAACTAAGAAGCACGGGAGCAAGAGAGGGAGCGAGCGCAAGCGCAAGCTGTACCCGCTACGAAGAAGAGCCGCGGCTTTAGACGGCGAGGCATTGAGCTGCCATGTTTTGCTCACGCGTTTGGACGGACAGGAGGAACCGATCCCAGAAGTGGATCCCAAAAAACAGAAGCCATTTCAGGATAAACCTTCAGCTCCGGAACCGCGTAAACGTCGACTAGCGTCTCTAAATGCAGAGGCGGTTAACAGTCTGCTGCTTGAGAAAACCGACACCAAACTAGCGAAGAAACACAGCGATGGCACCTCAACTAGTAAGACCTGCTCAAAAAGATCCTCGAAGGCAGAGACGTGCCAAAAGAAGAGGAAGAAAGACGAGCCTGACGCCAGTCTCTATGCTCCGGCTCCCAAACGGCTAGCCGGACTCAACGCCGCCGCGCTAATGAAGCTAACTAGCTCGACTACAGGAAGGACCAAACCAGACCGCTGCAAACCCAAAGCACAGATCCCGACCAAGAAGCTCATCCGCGATCCCGACGGAGCTTGTGAAGTGTGTAAAAGCAGGAGCTACGAGTCAGAACTGAGTAACTCGACGGCTAAACCGGGCTTCCAGTCGCAGAGCATTCTGGGATACCCAGTGACGGTGGTGAAGGAGGAGCCGGTGGAGGCGGAGCTGAGTGCGTTCTGTTGCTGTCCGCCGGACTGCCACCGGCTAGCGCTGTTCCTCGCGCAGGAGCCGGACGAGTCGCGGATCAAACACCTGGTTCCAGCGCATCCGGCGCTAACGCTCAGCGCTCATCCGTGTGTGTGCGCGGATCCGTGCTATGCCGGGTACCTCGTGCACATCGCTCACCCCGGGCCGGGTTTGAGCGCGCCGGCGCTGCTAGCCTCCTCGGGGATCGCTCATCCCTTCTGCGGTTCCGTCGGGTCAGGTTGCTGCCGCTGTGGAGTCGGACGATACGCCTTCGCTAGCCGGACCTGCTCCTTCCCCACCAGCTGCTCACACTGCAGACATCCCATCAAAACAGGTCAGAGATTATGATGACGCCTGATAACTATCATCAATAATAGGAGTCTAACGAGACCCTCACGATTCGATGCATTTCACAATACTGAACTCACGAACTGAACTTCTTTAAAATAAGACCAAACTTTTGTCCACTATGGACCAGTGTGTGTATCTTGTTTAAATTGAATCACTAGGGTTGATGAGCCTCACCTGTCTGTCATTGCTGTGTAGTAATTATGTGATTTGTTGTGCTGTTCCAGAAGGCTTCTCCTTGTCTCAAGATGAGCACAGTCGCTCGCTCCTGGTTCCTCCGCCCCTGCCTCTCTCCGGATGTCCCAGCATGCCCCGGGTGAACCCGTCCCCCCCGCTCGACCCGCGGCTCCTGTCCTCGATGTCGGACCGCAGGCAGGCTGAAGTCAGGCTTAAAGTGGGCAAAACATGCCCTCAAAACCCCAAGCCATCCAACGGCTCGCTCACTATGGGCCACACCAGGTTATCCAAGCGACCCACAGCCAGTCCAGCAAGTGCCAAACACCAGAGGAAAGTCAGCCGGCGCGAGGCTACGAACGGATGGCGTCCTGTCGGAGTCCCTACGGAGAAGGAGGTGTTTATTGCGGTGAGCGATGTTGCCGTGGCAATTCACCAAGACCGATTGGTGTTTAGCGCCAAACCGCGTCAGACACTGATCGGTCTGTGCAGCGCCCGTTCAAATCGAACACACCTTTTATGAGCGAGTCATTGAATCACTCATTCAAGAGATTCGTTCAAAAACGAAAAATGCTGATTCATCCAGTAATGAAACAAGTGAAGTCTTTATGAGTTAGTCATTGAATCATTCATTCAAGAGATTTGTTCAAAAACACTTGATTCATCCAGTAATGAAACAAGTGAAGTCTTTATGAGTTAGTCATTGAATCATTCATTCAAGAGATTTGTTCAAAAATACTTGATTCATCCAGTAATGAAACAAGTGAAGTCTTTATGAGTGAGTCATTGAATCATTCATTCAAGAGATTTGTTCAAAAACGAAAAATGCTGATTCATCCAGAAATTAAACAAGTGAAGACTTTATGAGTGAGTCATTGAATCATTCATTCAAGAGATTTGTTCAAAAACGAAAAAACGCTGATTCATCCAGTAATGAAACAAGTGAAGACTTTATGAGTGAGTCATTGAATCGTTCATTCAAGAGATTTGTTCAAAAACGCTGATTCATCCAGTAATGAAACAAGTGAAGTCTTTATGAGCGAGTCATTGAATCATTCATTCAAGAGATTTGTTCAAAAAATGCTTATTTATCCAGTAATGAAACAAGTGAAGTCTTTATGAGTGAGTCATTGAATCACTCATTCAAGAGATTCGTTCAAAACTCTGATTCATCCAGTAATGAAACATGTGAAGTCTTTATGAGTGAGTCATTGAATCATTCATTCAAGAGATTTGTTCAAAAACGCTGAATCATCCAGTAATGAAACACGTGAAGTCTTTATGAGTGAGTCATTGAATCACTCATTCAAAAGATTCGTTCAAAAACTCTGATTCATCCAGTAATGAAACACGTGAAGTCTTTATGAGTGAGTCATTGAATCACTCATTCAAGAGATTCGTTCAAAAACTCTGATTCATCCAGTAATGAAACACGTGAAGTCTTTATGAGTGAGTCATTGAATCGACTTGAATAATATTAATAATTCGAATTAATAAATTTTTTTTAATAGACTGAAGCAATTAACATTTTTCATAACATCATCAGTAATCATAAATGACATGTTATTTTGTTTAGAGAATGGTGATGTGTTATTGTGATGTGGTGTAAGCGCTGTGGTTTTGCAGGGCGATGACGAGACGGTTCTCCGCCAGTGTTACGAAGGAGTGGAGCGAGACGGAGAAGTGATCCGGGTGCGAGACACAGTGCTCCTGAGATCGGGACCCCGGAAGAAAACCCTGCCGTACGTGGCCAAGATCTCCGCTCTGTGGGAGGACCCGAGAACAGGTGAAGCAAACACAACACTCAAAACATAATAAAAGTCCTCTTTTCCGTCGCCTGACTCGGGATGAGTCTTGCTGTGGTGAATAAGGTTATATATGTGAGCGTGTGTGACCTGTTTCATGCAGGAGAGCTGATGATGAGCCTCTTCTGGTACTATAGACCTGAGCACACGCAAGGAGGCAGAGATCCCAGCATGCACTGCGAGGTGAGGCACTGCTTTCAGCTGCACACTCGAGGGATGTTCACACTCGCACGCTTCCTACAGATGCATTTAACACTCTGTCTTTCAGAACGAGATCTTCGCCTCTCGGCATCAGGACGAGAACAGCGTGGCCTGCATCGAGGAGCGATGCTACGTCCTGCCGCTAGCACAGTACTGCAGGTACGAGCTTTAAACGCACGGCAGGAATATTAGGCTACTGTCCCTTTAAGAGCGAATGCACTGATACACGGTTACGTTCACTCGAGTCATAACCTACTGTTTTCTCGCTTTTTTGTAACATAATTTTGTGAATTTGTCCGTTTAGCAGCGTGTTCACTGGCGTTCGGCTCTTGGCGAGTGCTAATGCTAAGCGCTGGTTGCAAACGTGTCGTAATCCTCTACTGTGATGTTGCAGATTTTGTGCCTTGGCCAAGCGGCGCTCTGAGGGTGTGTGTGAACGCCCGTCGGTGGTGCCCGTCTCCCCGGCCGGCGCCAACCCGTCCCACCGGCCCGTGCCCGCGGGCGTCGACCCGCAGCTGGTGTACCTGTGCCGGCACGTGTACGACCTGCGCTACGGCCGCATCCTGAAGAACCTGCAGTGAGCCAATCACAGCGTCCCGAGGCGGATCACGTGACCCTCCTCTGGGGGTCTTGATGTCCTAATGAGGCTTCCGTAGAGTAACCGCCTTCTTCATTTCCAACCCGATTCTGTGTCACGTACACTGGACTGACGCGCTGCTGAGGCCTGATGGGAGAATCGCTGAGGGGTTCAGAACGCTGACGCTTCCATAACGAATCTCTCTCGATCGAAACCCTCTGAGGTCCAGACGAAAGGTCCGTTCACACCAGCGGCGACGTGACGATAACTAACTGCGAATCTTTGAATCATTCAAGAGATTCATTTCAAAAGTGCTGATTCATCTAGTAATGAATCAAGTAAAGTCTTTATCAGTGAGTCATTGAATCAAGTGAAGCAATTCACATTTTTTTATAACGTCTTATAAATGACACGCTATTTTGTTTAGAGAATTGTGATCTCTATTTCAAAGAGAATTAATTTAATTTATCCAGAATCGTGCGGCTCTAACGTTTCACAAGGAAACTCTCACTTTTTCTCAATCAGTCTTTCTACGTCGGTGTTTCTTTACTAATTAACCAGTGAACGTGAAGTCTGACGTCGTCAGTGTCTGTAGTTATCGCTCCAGTTCTCGATCTCGTGTGAACGGACCGCTTGGGAAGAGGAGTGTGTGTGTGTGTGTGTGTGTGGAACAGATTTCTGATGCTCATATATTTCTGTGGCGTTTGCGTTCGGGGGGTCGGGACGTTTACGTGAAATAAATGATGAAATCGAACCTTTAGATTCACACGCTCTAGAAGGCAGGAATATATTCTAATATTTATTTGACGTTTGCTGTCGCTTCTTGCGCCCCCTAGAGGAAGTGCACTATTACATTCCCTGACGTGTGTGAGATCGATGCTGTCATTGATCAAACCGCTTATAGTTAATTATGTTAATGTTAATATTACAACATTCCCATCAGTGACGTGTGCGAGTGACGGTGTTCCCGAACTCCTGAAACGCCTCCATTAGTCTCGAGTTTCTCCCGGGAACGAACACGTCACAATATTCCTCATTATAATAATTATTGCGTAGAATAAAGGGGCGGGGCCAGGTTGAGTTAGTTAGTAGTGTTTTAGTACAAAGGGGCGGGGCATTTCCCCAAACACACTGGACCAATCACAACACACCGCTCCAGCCGACCAATCAGAGCACAGTGTGCTTTTCAGAAGGAGAGACAGGAAGTGAACAGAGCGTTACTGACAGACTGGGAAGAGAGGAGCCGCAACAATGGAGAATATGAGGAGAATAATCAACATTCGAGCAGGAGAACCTGTTCTAGGAGAGGAGATGAATGAAGAAAAGCAGAAGGAACAAACTCAACATTGTCTAACCGGCAGTGACAGGTTTTTTTTAAAGCTAATAAGTCTTTATTATATGGTTCAGTTTATTATTTCAGACACACCAGTTGAAAAGCAAGCACCTTAACGGAGATAGATTCGCTAGTTTTAAATATTAAATGCAAAATATATTTGGACGTCCGCTGACGTGAACTCAGAAGATGAAATTAGAGCATCAGCATGAATTACGTTTGTAGAAATGTGTGATTTTAAATGTTCATCGTGTCATCTTTATGATGTGGAATACGCAGATCATCCACTGATCACAGGAGGAGCGTCTCTGAAAAATTATTAATATTCAAATTTAAAGGCTTTTTTTTTACATTTGGAAAAGCTTCGTCTTTCTGCTTTCGATTTCTTCTAAACAAAAAAGGAGATATTTTATTAAGTCTGTTTCTAAAGCTGGAATATACCGTATATTTTTAGGACTATTTTTTAGGTTAAAAACAAATTGTATTTAAATTCCTGATCCTCTGATGACGAGCTGACCCGGACTGAAGCGTTGGCGTGTAACTGAGGTCATGTTCAGGCGCTGTTATGCTTTAAGACTTGTAACTGTATTTAAAGAAATTATTTAAGATAGAGTATAAAGCATATATCTATATTTCAAGTCCTCTTAGTTCCTCAGTGTTTTGAAGTGCTGTTGCAATATTGTCCTCTAATAAGTGCAGTCGTTTTTAATTATTATTTGTGTGTGTTAAATTATGAGTATCATCAGATCATGAAGTCTTAATGAATTCTTCAGAAATATCTACATTATGATGTTTTGCTTTCTCAGCTGATTTTGTAATTAATTGTCGGATGATTCCCGAAGGAAATATTCCTGATCATTCCGGTGAGAAACTGTGTTGTTTTCCTGATGGTCCATCAGTTCACACACATTCTGTTGCTTTGTTTTTTTGGACCCAGTGTCTCTTTTTTTTTTTTTTTTTTTTTTCATTCATATTTGTGATCTGATGTGTTTTCAATGGCAATGGATCGCTACTGTTTATTGTTCAATGAAAGAGTATTTATAAATTATAAACTGAAATCTTTTGTGAAATCATCGAGTCTCTGTTTGCTTGCTGTGGTTTATCGTAGACTGCAGAACAACACTAGGATTATATGTTTAATCTTTAATTCACTCATGGATGTTCAAATTCATATTTATAGTTTAACATAAAGATCTTATGAAATGAGTGAAGAATCGCTGCAGCTTTAGTCTCTTACATCCAGCAGATGGCAGCCTTCAGTCAACTAGTGTGTGTGTGTGTGTGTGTGTGTGTGTGTGTTTCAGGTCTCTTCTTCATCAGCTTCTTCTGTTCCTGCGGTGAGTCTCATCAGTTCAATCTAATCAAGTTTGAAGTCATCATGAAACTCATATTTTCCTTTATTGTGTCGTATATCGAGGGAAGCGCTTCAGGAACAGGAACACATGTGGGCGGGGCTTGATTGTGTCTGCGCGCGCTCTCGTGCTCGCGATGAGATCTGATCCTCTTTACGGATGGACTGACTATGGCAAGCCGTTTTAGCTTTTATTCATTTCTAGGATATGAATTCTTGATATCAACAATTGTATTTTCACTAGTGAAATGTCCCCATAGGCTGCCATTCAAAACCAATTGTTGATATCAAGAATTGATTTCTTACTAGTTGAAATTCCAATTTCACATATCAGAAATACAATTATTACTAGTAAAAACCTTTATTTTTGATATCAAGAATTAAATTGTTACTAGTTGAAATGTTATTCCTGATATCAACAATTGAATTGCTACTAGTAACAATGTTCATTTTTGATAACAATAATTAAATTTTTACTAGTGGCAATTTTAATGTTTGATATCATGAATGTAATTGTTACTAGTAAGAAAGCCATTTTAGATATCTGAAATAATATTGATATCAGAAATATATTTTCAGATATCAAAAATGGTAATTTTTACTAGTAACAATTGAATTGTTGATATCAAGAATAAACATTTCAACTAGTGACAATTTAATTATTGATATCAGGAATTCACATTTTTACTAGTAACAGTGTAATTATTGATATCAAAAATGACATTTCTACTAGTAAAAAATCAATTCTTGATATCAACAATTGAATTCTTTATATCAATTGATATCACAAATTTAATTGTTGATATCAATAATTTAATTGTTGATATCAAAAATGTAATTCTTGATATCAAAAAATGGCATTGTTGATATCAAGAATTCATATCCTGCGGATGATTAAAAGTTAAAACGGCTTGCCATAGTATGACTTGATCATGGATTTATTAGAGCTGATCTACATTTCATATAAATGAGTTTCATATTCCTGGAGAGAGACAGAGAATAATCTGCAGAAATTAGTCTAAAACCTGCAGCTCTGCAAAATTATTAAGATGAATTATTAAATTAAGATAATTAAAGTGTTTCAAAATCTTCTCCTGAAAATGATACATAGACCCATACTTTTCAAACAATGATGGCTTAATAAAAATAGACTAAAGGCATAATTTTGAAATGTTGATATGATTATTATTTTAATATTAAATATAATTTATTCCATATAATCTCCCAGAACTGATGATTCAAGCTGTTTTTTGTAAGTGCAGAGAAGAAAATAATCTGTGAAGAATAATGTATGACTATATGATTGTGAATGTGCAGCATTGACAGAATGCGAGATTATATGAGTGTTGATTAAACTAATGAACATACGGCGCTGATTAATTACTGATACATCAGCAGATCTCAGTGTAATTAATGATCTAACGACTCAGATGAGTCCGGTTCTGTGTGAAAGGCTTCCGGTGAACACTTTAATTAAGTGTGAACCTCAAAACATTAGTGTCTCGATCACACACACACACACACACACACACACACACACACTGGAAACTATTCTCCACTTGAAACTGTGTGTGTGTGTGTGTGTGTGTGTGTGTGTGTGTGTGTGTGTGTGTGTGTGTGTGTGTGTGTGTGTGTGTGTGTGTGTGAGGATTATGCAGATCATCAGAGAGGAGGAGCGTGTGTTGTGTTCGTCTCTCGATCAGCAGTTCCAGGTCGTCTCCTCTCTCTACACACACACACACACACACACACACACACACACTCAGCTGGTGATGGAGGTGATGGAGGTCCTGACGGAGGCCGGAGGAGCTTCACACAGCGGCGGCTTCAACAGCGAGTGTCTCCTGCCGCCGGACACCGACTTCATGACCGGTCAGTGAACATCTCCAGGATCCGCTTCTGTCCGTCAGCACTGACATCTACACACTCGTACACCGACACACACTCGTACACCGACACACACTCGTTACAGATAGAAACTCAATGTATGACAAAACAATTATCTATACTATTAGAGTCAGAAAAATCATGTTGTTTCTCTGTGAATGAAGTGTATTTCTCTGAGTCCTGCAGATATTTGATCTGGTTTAGCATTAAATCACTTGTTTTCAAAAGAAGACTCAATGTCTTCAGAAACTCTGAACATCATGTCTGCAGTGCATAAGATTCTCCTCTCTTGTTTTTATAAGTGAAAATATTATAAATATTATAAAATATAATATATATATTACCTACCTGTGCTATAAATATCTCAAAATCTATTTATAGCACTGGTAGACTTTCAGAAACTGGGCTGGTTATATAAATGTGCTTTTAGTTGTGAGGTTCAGATATTTATATTTTCAGTGTTAGGAGTGTGTGTGTCTTGAGTTGACTGAGGTTTATAATGTGTGTGTGTGTCGATCAGCACGCGTCAGGCTCTCTCGGAGACATCAACAGCTGATCAATCCTCTGCTTTAAAGAGTTTAGCACTTATAATTGTTGAAAACATCAGTTATTTTGCTTTGATCGCACTGTTTGACTGTGTTAAACTGAAGTGTGTGTGTGTGTGTGTGTGTGTTGTGGAGGAAGGTCAGGATGGATCCGGTGGGATTTGCTAGTCTTAATTCCTTTCTGAAGTGGGATTATGGCCGATATAATCCACACACAAACACACTATCGGTTCTCAAACATCAGCTCATAGAAGAAGAAACGCTTGTATAGTTTAGTTTTAATTCACTCATTTTTGTTTTACATTTGATAAATTAAACAGCTCGGAAATACACTTTATCACTATAACATTGAAATAACCAATCAGCATGCAGCAATGATACATTTTTCTAAATGTTATAATCATTTGTTAGTATTCATTACTTCAATGAGCTCATTGTTTATGCCTTAAATTATTACATTGTTTAAAATGACACGTTTTTCGCTAACTGTGCATTTCTGATACGCATAACTCTGATAAGATACGGCCCGGATCCGGCTGACTTCAGTAAACCGAGGAATAAATGGAAAAACTGACATTAGCGTAGTAGACGCCGTTCATCTAATGACGTAACGAGAACATCAGGATTAACGGTTCCGGCTGATCTAATCTATGCAGACTAACACTGAATTACAGAAGTCTATAGTGTGTTGTGTGTGTGCTAGATTAGAGAGGTGTGTGTTTAGTCTAGATTTGATCTGACAGAGTGTGTCTGCTTCCCGGACAATGTTAGGAAGATTGTTCCAGAGTTTTGGTGCTAAATAGGAAAAGGATCTCCCGCCTGCAGTCGATTTGGATTCGAGATTGGTTTCGAGATCGCAGCAGACGTGAAGGCGGTTCAGGACGACCTCAGACTCCACCGTAAAACCTGAATATTAAATTGAGTTCACTGCACTCTCAATACTGAAACTTGAAGGAAATAAACACAAGAAACACAAGGTTTAACGTCACCATGATGGAGATCAGTGTTTGATTTAGTTGGGCTCTTGACCCTTGACCTTTTCCTTGACTGCTGTAATTGTGTGTTTATTAAACAATTGTCATGGCACAGACGTCAAGGAAAAGTATGATCGGGTGATGATGGCCGAGGTTTACTGATAACATTTAGGGGTGTGCAAAGCAGCCGGTATTTGTATTCGAGTAAGGCCACGCCCCCTTGAGGAGTTCAGTGCGACTGCTGTGCATGTAAACGCAGCCGGTGTGCGTGTGTGTGTGTGTGTGTGACTGAATGGGGAGTGTTTGGCGTTTTCTGATGTTTGTGTCCGAGCCATGTTGGGCCGGCTCCTCAGCATGGCGGCGCTGGTACCGGTTACGACTGTAACACATGTTCCCTGAGAGCAGGGAATGAGACACACTAGCAGTGACATCATAGGCTGTCTCTGGCCAATAGGATTGCCGTGATTAGATAAGCGTTTAAAGCCCTGTTCGGACGGCACTAGCGTAGCATGGGGGGGGGTATGACTGAGAAGTGTGTGTTGTGAGTGTCAGTACTGATCAGTGTGTGTGTGTGTGTGTGTGTGTCAGATGAGCGCTGCTCTCCTCAGCTCAGCGACCGCCTCTCTCTCCTGGAGCAGCGAGTCCAGATGCAGGACGATCAGATCCAGCTGCTGAAGATGGCCATGGCGGATGTGCTGAAGAGACTCCACATCTCCGAGGAGCAGACCACCTCGCTCGGCAGCAGGGCTCCGGTCAAAGGTCACACACACTCACACTGTGTGTAACTGTGACTAATGTCTAGCCAAACACATGCAGATTACTCCAGTGTGCATATGCATGTGCTGTACTGTGTGTGTGTGTGTGTGTGTGTGTGTGTGCTCTTATGACTGATGTGTGTGTGTGTGTGTTCAGCTTCAGCGGGTCGTGCGGCGTCTCTGGTGTCTCTGAGGAAGAACTCCAGCTCCACTCTTCCCTCCTCTCCTTCATCCAGGACCTGCAGTCCGAGGTCTGGCACCGAGATCAGGTGTGTGTGTGTGTGTGTGTGTGTTCAGAGGTCACTGACGCTCTCTCTCTCTGCAGGACGCCCGGCACCAGCGCTAGAGCTCGACCGACCGACCGGACCCTGCAGGACACGTGAGTAGAACAGTGTCGGCCCAGATCCGGCACATGTGGATAAAGGCGCAGCAGAAGATGTGGGCCGGATGTGGGCCGGCACTGGTGCTGTGGATGTAGAAGCTCCTGCGGTTGATGAGTGACTAACGCCTCTCTCTTCATACAGCAAACCGAAGGAAGCCAGTGCGTCAGGTGAGATGAGGAATTATTACATGTTATTGTTATACGTGTTATTTTCTGGTAAAATAGTCTCAAACTTAAACAACACAGTTGCATAAACTAATTCCAGCTGATAAAACAACACTATTGTCTTCTATTGTATTGAATCTGAAAGTCAAGTCAGCTTTATTTATAAATCACAGAGTGTGTGAGAGCAGCTTTACAGAGAATAATGCAAGAGTGTGTTTCCAGAAGAGAATATCGTCACAGTCCAGATCAAGTTCAGCGGCGCGTCTCATTTGTTGTAAAAATGTAGTCATTTAGTTTGTTTATATATATATAAGACCTCTATATAAGAAAAGCGTGATGTCATCGTCAGCTCAGCTCAGTTCTCATATAATGCTGTCAGTAATATTGCTGAATATTAAATGTCCCGAAATAAGCAAAGACTAAAGACGAGAGACGACAGAGGAGCCAGAACTCGAGAAAGCAGACTCAGTCGCTCAGTTCCTCTGGCCAACAAACAACAGGGTGGGATTATGATTATGATTCAGGCATTACAGGTCAGAGGTCAGATTGGATCTGAACATAAACCTCGGGATAAACAGAGAGACTAATATTAGCGTAGACGCCATTCTTCTTATTTATTTATGGGGCGTGTTCATTTAGTTTGACTTGATGTACTTTATAAATAACATAAAGTAAAAAAACTAAGTAAAGTAAACATGACAAAAGCACAGCTAATATTCAGTTTTTCACTTTCTCACACTCGCTACATTACTGGTTTCATGATGAGTCATTATTATTCCTCTGTTTCTGTCCCTCAGGCTCCAAGCGTGTCGCTCGCTGCAAAGGTAGGTCTCACACCACACCATAACATAAGAACTATTGTGTGACAGTATGTGAGTTCGGTCCCTCTAGTGGCTAAAAACAGAACTGCATGCATGTAGCGGAGAGCGTTGTTGAGGTTGTGCTTCGGCTCTGTGCGGATGGATCTGAGTTTTACACTTTTTTTTAACATTAATAACACAAGACTTCCTGGACAATAAAATATTATAAAAGTCCTTCCTGGACAATAAACCCTCTGCCGGCTCTGCCGATCACAGAACACTGGAGGCACATCAAGACTATAATGTTCTCGATGATCGGCTCTCTCTTAATCCTTTCTCTTTCTGTTCATCTCCTCATCTCCTCCTCCTCATCTCCTCTTCCTCCTCCTCATCTCCTCCTCCTCCTCCTTATCTCCTCTTCCTTCTCCTCATCTCCTCTTCCTCATCTCCTCTTCCTCCTCCTCATCTCCTCCTCATCTCCTCCTCCTCCTCCTTATCTCCTCTTCCTCCTCCTCATCTCCTCTTCCTCCTCCTCCTCATCTCCTCTTCCTCCTCCTCATCTCCTCCTCATCTCCTCTTCCTCCTCCTCATCTCCTCCTTATCTCCTCTTCCTCCTCCTCATCTCCTCTTCCTCCTCCTCATCTCCTCCTCCTCATCTCCTCCTCTTCCTCCTCCTCATCTCCTCTTCTCCTCATCTCCTCCTCTTCCTCCTCCTCATCTCCTCTTCCTCCTCCTCATCTCCTCTTCCTTCTCCTCATCTCATCTTCCTCCTCCTCATCTCCTCATCTCCTCTTCCTCCTCCTCATCTCCTCTTCCTCCTCCTCATTTCCTCCTCTCTTTCTCATCTCCTCTTCCTCCTCATCTCCTCTTCCTCCTTCTCATCTCCTTTCCCTCCTCATCTCTTCCTCCTCCTCATCTCCTCCTTTTCCTCCTCCTAATCTCCTCTTCCTCCTCATTTCCTCCTCCTCTTCCTCATCTCATCTTCCTCCTCCTCATCTCCTCTTCCTCCTCCTCATCTCCTCTTCCTCATCTCCTCTTCCTCCTCTTCATCTCATCTTCCTCCTCCTCATCTCCTCTTCCTCTTCCTCATCTCCTCTTCCTCCTCTTCATCTCATCTTCCTCCTCCTTATCTCCTCCTCATCTCCTCTTCCTCCTCCTCATTTCCTCCTCTCTTTCTCATCTCCTCTTCCTCCTTCTCATCTCCTTTCCCTCCTCATCTCTTCCTCCTCCTCATCTCCTCCTTTTCCTCCTCCTAATCTCCTCTTCCTCCTCATTTCCTCCTCCTCTTCCTCATCTCATCTTCATCTCATCTTCCTCCTCCTCATCTCCTCTTCCTCCTCCTCATCTCCTCTTCCTCATCTCCTCTTCCTCCTCTTCATCTCATCTTCCTCCTCCTTATCTCCTCCTCATCTCCTCTTCCTCCTCCTCATCTCCTCTTCCTCCTCTTCATCTCATCTTCCTTCTCCTCATCTCCTCTTCCTCCTCCTCATCTCCTCCTCCTTATCTCCTCTTCCTCCTCCTCATCTCCTCTTTCTCCTCCTCTTCCTCCTCTCCTCTTCCTCCTCCTCATCTCCTCTTCCTTCTCCTCATCTCCTCCTCCTAATCTCCTCTTCCTCCTCCTCATCTCCTCCTCATCTCCTCCTCCTCATCTCCTCTTCCTTCTCCTCATCTCCTCCTCCTCATCTCCTCTTCCTTCTCCTCATCTCCTCCTCCTCATCTCCTCTTCCTCCTCCTCATCTCCTCTTCCTCCTCCTCATCTCCTCTTCCTTCTCCTCATCTCCTCTTCCTCATCTCCTCTTCCTTCTCCTCATCTCCTCCTCCTCATCTCCTCTTCCTTCTCCTCATCTCCTCTTCCTCCTCCTCATCTCCTCTTCCTCATCTGCCCACTTGGTTTAGTGACTCTGCAGATTTACCTGGTTCCGCTGGGAAGAGGGACTGGGTCAGCTGAGGAGTGTGAGGTGTGTGAGCCCGTAGATCAGAGCAGAAGCGCGGCGGTCACTGCAGTCGTGCAGAGGAAGAAGAGCTCGAGTCTGAACAACAGGAGTCCCGTCAAACCAGTCAAACCAGCCAGCCAATACTTCCAGATCTGCTACTGACAGAGACTCTCGCTCACAGACATCTGCTCTGACTGACTGATGTTAGCATTTTATTTTCTGGAGAAAGACAAAGTTTTTGGTGCAGAATTACAATAAAATCTGTTTCATATTATGGTCAATTCTGATTCTGCGAACTGCACATGTGTGCCACAGCGCCTGACTGCCCTCTGCTGTTTCATCCCGCTCTAATCCTGTCTGGCCCAGAATATACCTTTCATTATATAAGATGACATTGAGAAAGCTGAGTCACTTTTCTTGATGAACAAATCCTTCTAAAAATGATCAAAACTCGAACAGAGACTGAAATCTGGTGTTTAGCACTCCTGTTGGAGGATTAAATAAACCAAGGAAGATTCCGTCACACACATCAATATATTTGTGTGAGCATGTGTGTGTGTGTGTGTGTAATAATAATAATAATAATAATTTATATACACAATAACATCAAAAATGTATTGCCATCAATTCTTGTGTAAAAATGATTCTTCCCAACCATTCTCTCTCAGTTTGAGCCTGATGAATCTTGACATTATCCTGGAATATGAACATGATGTGTCTTCCTAGTTGTTCAAGAAATTAAAAGCGACACACTCCATCAATTAGGGTTAGAAGAACATGATAGAAACATGATAATCTCTACAATAATGATCCAAAAATAGAATTTGCCCATTTAAATCCACACAGTGACGTTTTCGGTCGTCAGTGTGTGTGTGTGTATAGGAGTGTAAGGGTTGGGTTAGTTATAGTTTAGTGGTTTATTATAAGGATATCAGCCCCGCTGGTGTGACTCTTCTGTGTCTGTTGTTGTTGATGATGATGATGATGTTTCGCGCGGATTGTGGGTTTGAACCCTTGTCTTCCCGCCAGATGTTCCAGTAGTGTGTGTCTGAGGCGCCCGTGGGCAGCACCGGACCGGTGAGTCAGTGAGCGGTTACCGGAGACCGGAGACCGTGAGATGGACGTGAGGAGAACACGGCCTCAACACGGCGAGAAAAACACCAAAACACCAGAAAACGACTCGGAATCTACACAGAACCGGCCACATTTGCATCTGTCGCATTTTTTCCTCCGCATCCGTGACTGGCTTTCGTAGCATCGGCGTTTTTTTATTTCTTTTTTTTTTACTCATAGCTTATTCCGTGGATGTTCGCTTTTTCTCTGCAGTGTTGGATCATTAATCACACACGGGGGATCGAGAGACTGCGGTGACATTATTCAACGTTTATAAATAACGAAGAAAAAGAAGAAAATATGAGGTAAGCGCGCGCTCTCACGCGCCGCGTCCGTTATCATCCGTTATTATTAACGGCGAATGCAGCAGATTATGTGACGAGATCTTTTTTGGGCTGAATTTAGTGTTTTACATGTCCTGTTATGTCGACATATTGTCTATGTATTTGAGTTATTGGTTAAAATGATTGGGAATAGATGAGGTTTGGAAACATCAGCCGGCGTGTTCACGCGAGGCCACACATTCTCATGCTGCCATCATCAATGTAGTGCACTTATGACTCTTAATGACTTAGATGTGATAGTCTGCTAAGGGAGGGACGCGTTTATATACACATATACTTATAATTGTTTGAAAATACAGCGACAGAAACGATATAAAATGGAGACATCATCATTATCATCATCAACGCTCGCCTCAGCAGCGCTGTGACGTGTCACGGAGGGCGTGGTCAGAGCAGCTGTTGTCATGGTAACGAGGGCACGCGCGCAGCAGTGCATGTGTTCATTGTTAACGATGATTGATAAGCGCTAATGTGAACTGAACACAGCTTTAACGAGTATAATGCAACGCGTGGTAACCAATTTTAACTTTGGTTACAAGTATTTAAGAAAATATATAATGCATTATAACGTACATTAATCTGCAATTAAGTCTGCTCCGCTTCTGCGCAGACTCTATAGCATCTGTCAGGTAATTAGACACCAGTCTTGGGCCTGTCTCTAAAAGTCTTTAGTCTTTAATTAGTTTGTGTGTGTGTAAATGAGAGAGAGAGTATGTGTGTGTGTGTGTATTATGAGACATGATAGCCTACTAGAGTGTAATTTTGGAAAGAAACATCGGGGTCATTGACATGCCGTGAATCCCGTGAAAACTTTCAAGGTGGTTATTGTTAATAGTGCTGAATCTTAATAGGCTCAATTTTCTTTGAGCAAAATAAAGTGAGTTATCTTCTCTTTTGATTTTTAGCCAGACATACCCATATCGTTATCAGGCTCAGATGGTGCAGATTGTCATGATCACACCGTTCTCCAAAATTTTTGTTTAAAAAATGTGTTGAGCTCCTGCGGCTCTTAAAGGCACAGCTCACCCTTAGTGAAGATGAAGTCATCATTTACTCATTCTGGTGTCGTTCTATTTCCGTACGACATTCTTTCTTTTATGGACCACAAAAGGAGAATTAAAAAAGTATTTTATTTTTTTGTCGATTTGTATTTCGTGTTGCGCTTTTGTCTTGTTTTCTGGGCGTGTCAGAGTGGGCAAACCTCGACCCCAGTCAGCCTGATGGTGGCGCTACAGCGATCAGGAGTACGAAATCGTTAATAACTCCTAAACCGTTTCGCCCGATCGGGACCAAACCACAGCAGAAAGATTCTCTCGGCTCTGATTGTCAATAATTATCAAATAAATGTGTAAAGTGCGATTCACGTTGGCGACGGGATGCCACAAGTTTGCAAAAGTAAAAGTTTTTTTGCACTTTTTATGGATTTAGTTGTAGTTTCCCTGGTTTGCACCACAGAACACACTCTGATCTCAGTGTGAAGCAGAAGTCAGTCGTTCCTGTCACTCGCGCGCTCAATCCCGTTAGCAGCGGATGAGCCGCGTCACGTGACCTTTAGCGCTCCTGTCGCGCTCTCGTCACGGCTCATACGCTGGCGGTCTGAGGAGCGAGGTCATGCATGCGGATCACTGCAGGTAAGATCCGGCGACAAGCACACACACACACACTCACACACACTCAGAACGTTGGCAGTTTCTCAGGGAGTCTGTGTTTGAGTGTGTATGTGTGTGTGTGTGTGTGTGTTTTCTCAAGGGTTTCTGCTGTGAATCTCCTGGTGTGTCAGTGATGTCTGGCTCGGTGGGTGAAAACGGTGTGTGTGATTGACAGATGCTCACTCTCCTCTACAGGAATCATTCATGACTACAGCACACACACACACACACACACACTAAGATTCCCTAAAGTACATTTGACAAAAAAATACTTTTTCAGTTTTTCCACTTCCAAGTTTCACGTTTAATTCAATGTTACTTGCTGTTTCTTTGTGAAATTATCTTTTTATCTCACAGTTCTGATTCTTCTGTCACTCAATTCTTAGTTTATATCTCAAAAACGTGAGAAATAAAACTCATAATCTCATTATTATTATAATTTCTTCTCTATTTTGAGTTCGGGGTTAAATATCCCAGTTCTAATGCGATTTGCCAAACTCTCTTTAACATCTATCTATCCATCCATCTAATCATCCATCCATCCATCCTTCCTTCCATCTAATCATCCATCCATCCTTCCTTCCATCCATCCATCCATCTAATCATCCATCCATCTAATCATCCATCCTTCCTTCCATCCATCCATCCATCCTTCCATCCATCTAATCATCCATCCTTCCTTCCATCCATCCATCCATCCATCCATCTAATCATCCATCCATCTAATCATCCATCCTTCCTTCCATCCATCCATCCATCCATCCATCCGTCCATCCATCCTTCCATCCATCTATCCATCCATCCTTCCATCCATTCATCCATCCATCCATCCATCCTTCCATCCATCCATCCATCCTTCCATCCATCTAATCATCCATCCTTCCTTCCATCCATCCATCCATCCATCTAATCATCCATCCATCTAATCATCCATCCTTCCTTCCATCCATCCATCCATCCATCCATCCTTCCATCCATCTAATCATCCATCTATCCATCCATCCATCCATCCATCCATCCGTCCATCCATCCTTCCATCCATCTATCCATCCATTCATCCTTCCTTCCATCCTTCCATCCATCTAATCATCCATCCTTCCATCTATCCATTCATCCATCCATCCATCCATCCGTCCATCCATCCTTCCATCCATCCATCCATCCATCCATCCATCCATCCATCCATCCTTCCATCCATCTAATCATCCATCCTTCCATCCATCCATCCATCCATCTAATCATCCATCCATCTAATCATCCATCCTTCCTTCCATCCATCCATCCATCCATCCATCCATCCATCCATCCTTCCATCCATCTAATCATCCATCCATCCATCCATCCGTCCATCCATCCTTCCATCCATCTATCCATCCATTCATCCATCCATTCATCCATCCATCCATCCATCCGTCCATCCATCCTTCCATCCATTCATCCTTCCTTCCTTCCTTCCTTCCATCCATCTGTCTGGGTATTTATTTGTATTTCGCTATGTCAGTCTATGATCAATTTGTTTTGTATCATTTCTATTCATTCAGCTTTTTTATGCTAATTGATTCATCCATTACCGTAATTGTGTCAGTGTGTCATTTCTCTCTCTCTCTCTCCCTCTGTCCCTCTCTCTCTCTCTCTCTCTCTCTCTCTCTCTCTCTCTCTCTCTCTCTCTCTCTCTCTCTCTCTCTATCCTGTTAGATGCTGTGTGTGGATGTTTAATTGAAAACTAGTTAGTGCTTCAGACCATTTAGATCAAACTTAATTTTCCTGTTTAATTCAACCCTAATTCGGTTTGTAGCCTTTTCATTTTAAGAGTGTGTGAGAGAGCGAGTGAGAGAGTATCAGTGAGAGAGCGAGGAGTTTCCTATTCGAGAGAGCATCTGTGAGAGAGAGAGTGAGTGAGAGAGAGCGAGCGAGAGAGCATCAGTGAGAGCGGAGGGGGGATGATGTGAGGGTATTCACTGGAGAGAAGGGGGAGGAGCCTCGTAATCCACTCAGCCAATGGCTCGTCAGGGAGGCAGAGTGAAGGTGCCAACATCAGCATCATCATCATCATCATCATCTCAGTGAGTGCCGGACAAAGGAGAGCATCACCACACCCTTGTGCTCGCCGAGGGGTTTACACTCGCCACACACTCCTCCTCTCCTGACCACGCTCCTCCACGGCTCCCAGGGCACTGACGGAGGGAGGAGGTGAAGGAGAAGAGGAAGAGGGGGAGGGGAGAGAGAGCTGTTGCTCGGCTATGATCATGGACGCTAACCTGCAGTCCCAGCGCTTCTTCTTCCCGCAGATCTTCTGTGATCCCGCCGTTCAGCTCAGCGAGAGCAAGAGGTACGAGCGTCCGTACGAGCCGCCACACCGCCGCCACGGTCTCCATTGTCCTGCTCTCACAGCCTGCGCCGTTACCATGGAAGCCAGTGTGTGTGTGTGTGTGTGTGTGTGTGTGTGAGAGAGTGAATATGTGTCTGTGTGACAGCGAATTTGTGTGTGTGTGTGTGTGTGTGTGAGAGAGAGAGTGTGTGTGTGTGTGTGTATGTGTGTGTAATCAGATTTGTCCAGATATTGAGTGTTTGGCACAGAGAAAAAAGATTTTCACACAGAATTTTGATAATGCATTAATAAATGTTGAAATTAATATAAACTCCGATTATTAAATGCTGTGGAAGCATTGCTCAGTCACTGCTCCTGTAACTAATGAACCTTGTTGTAAAGTGTCACCGATTCACTAATGAACGGCAACACTGAATTAAACACTAAAGACTGAAATAGTATTTTAATGCAAATTTCTTATGTTACAGTGCACCTGTCATCATAACGCATTATACTGTAAATAAGTAACCAGCGGTAAAATGCATTACAATATTTACTATTCCGTTGTGTTTTTTATACGTTCTAAAGGTGTAATAATGCATCATAACTCTGGGTACAGTTATTCATGACATCATACAAGGTGCATAAAATGAATGCATTAATACACATCAATAATGCATTATATACGAAGGATTTACTGAACTTTTTGTCAATATGACGGTTATCGTGATGTTGTATTTAACGGGCGATAAAACCTGATTTTTTTTCCCTAAAATTTTAATTTTGCAATGGAACATTCCAGATCGATTTGTTGTTGTTTTTCTGAGATGTTTTACCATTTCCTTCTTTATAGTTGTAAAAAAGCAGCCGTATTTCATTCAAAGCTTTAATTGTTGGTGTTTTTTGTAATTATTTGTCGATTTCTAAGTAAAAAGATTTCAAGTGTACATGACGTTCGCTATATTTGCTTACTGTTTGAATCGATCAAGCGTGAACCGCTAACTTGTGTTAAAGTTACCGAAAGTCAGCTTTTAGCCGATGCATGAGGTTCATGATGAGATGTGCAGAATATGACGGGTTTAATATGATAGAGAGCTGTAGATGTGCAGAATATGACGGGTTTAATATGATAGAGAGCAGTAGATGTGCAGCTCGGGTCGATGCGGATCCATAATGCGGTTATGAATACAGTAGATGCGCGGGAATAATAGTGTTTTCATGCCGTAATGTCTGGCTCACTCTTATGAATGAAAGAGCTCAGACTGCATCCCCAAGGCTTCTGTTACCATGGAGACGTGTGGCTTCTCAGCATCCCATAGTCTCACCAGCCAGGGCGCCATGGCAACCACAGAACCCTCCACACACTGACAGACCGAGGCCAGCCGAGAGTGATGTTCACTGCAGCGTTACAGTGATTACAGTCACAGACAGTTTATAAAGTCCAGATAAAGTTAGTTTAGATTGATTCACTTCCATTGTAAAGATCATTAGTGATTAACTTGTGTTTGATCAGTGTTTGCTCTCCTTACGGAGAGACTCACGTTTCTCAATGTTAGCGGAGACGTTTGTGTAGTTGTTGTGGAGTTCCCACTGGTCATCTCATCATCATGTTGTGTGTGAACGTGTAGATTAAGGCACAGGAATATTATAATAAGATCCTCTTCATACAGCAGAAGGAGCGAAATCTGATCGGCTTATTTAATGACATGCTCTCAGAGAACGGCTCACCAGAACACAGTTACTGGGTTTCAGTTTTTGTTTACCTGATTTGCAGATGCTGAGATAAAAAATACAACAAAAAAAGTTTTTTTGTAATTCTATATACAGTAGATATATCTGCTCTAACACAGATCAGTCAGATGTGAAGGGTTTGTTGACTGGTTGTGTTTTCTGAGCTGTGTTTCGAGCGGCCGGTTGATGTCTATGAGGACATTCATTGAGCATCATTGACTGACCCTGTGTGTGTGTGTGTGTGTGTGTGTTACAGCGAGCAGAGCATCTGTCAGGCCCGCGCCTCCGTCATGGTCTACGACGACACCAGCAAAAAATGGGTGCCGATCAAACCGGGTCAGCAGGGCTTCAGCCGCATCAACATCTACCACAACACCACCAACAACACCTTCCGTGTGGTGGGCGTCAAACTGCAGGACCAGCAGGTGCGCTCACACACACACACACACACACTGATGCACTCGCGCTGGTCTCTGTCCTCGTGTGTGTGTGTACATGACCTGCTGCTCTTAAAGTGACAGCGCTCATATTCCTCCGTCTCTATAATAACACTCATCACACACCAGGAGACTGAGAACACACACTCGCTCTTCACTTCTGTAACTATATCTGTAATGTATATTTTATTGATAAACTGCAGTGGTATTTTACATTTGATACAGATTTTGAACCTGAACATCTCAAACATGTTAATTTCTGTCGTATCTGTGTTCAGTTGTGTCTATTTAAAGGTGGAATACCTAAGATTTTTGCATTAAAATATCCCATAATCACAAGGCCAGTGTTATATATTTAGTTAAGATGATAACTCACAATATTACAAATGTTTTTAAACAATGTTTAAATGGCGAGAAAATTGAGATTTTAACCAAGGAAACGGAGCTGGGAGTCGCCAGTCAATCGCGTCATATCCGCGTGACCTCAGTTTCCGCTCGTACTGCGTGTAGTCCTGGACAAATGCGTAAGTTGTAGTTGTGTGTCAAACGTCAGCTTGTTTCGCGCGTTTGTTATGGAATGGAGCACAATTACTCTTTAGCGATTGCACCTGGTTCTGTCGACAAAGACAAGTCTCGTAAACGCAAACGTCAACGAACGGGTCAACCAAACGACCCAAGAAGAATTTGGGACAAGAGAAATAAAACCAGCTCAACATCGGTGAGGCATTTCCTAAATGGAGAGAACTTGGTGAAAAACTCGAACTAGAAAGAGACGCCGATCTTGCATGTGTTTTATGCCGAGTTCAGACTGCATGATTTTAGCCACGATTTTGGCTCGCCGACAGGTTTTGAGAAATCGCCGACAAATGCCCGAAATCACAGGCAAATCGGCGCTCGTTCACGCGAGTGACAATCACGCAGTGTGAATGAACAAAGACGTGAACTGAGAGAATCACCGACGAGTCGCCGACGCCCGTGAGATATTTGGCATGCTAAATATCTGGACCTGTCGGCGATTCAAAATCCTGCTGTGTGAAAAGTGTTTTGACTGAAAACTACATCGGCGATCACCGGCAGCCAGTGAGAGAGCAAGATACAGAGCAGCAGGGAGTTCGGGGAGGAGTTATAGATCACATACCAACATGATATGGCATTGTTTCAACAAAAAAAGCTTCTTCTCGGTCTATTTGGACACAATAAATGGAAGAAAAATTAGTAGAAATTTGGCAGGAGCACTCGTGTCTGTTTCACCAGCTGTACCACAACCGGGTCGAAAAAAAAGTCTCACGTGAGAACTCCGGTCTTGCACGTGTGGTGTCGCGCGTTGTTTCCTTTTCATATCTCACGCGTGTTTGTTGTGAAATGTAGTTTGCAGCGTGCTAGACAGAGTCTGTCGGCGATTTTTCTAAAGTCATGCAGTGTGAAACCTTCTGTCGCCGATCCATCGTCCAGTGTGAACACAGCAGCGACTGAATGCTGGCCAAGATAGTCATGCAGTGTGAAAAGAGCAGCGACCTGACTACTTTGAAAATCGTGCAGTCTGAAAGAGCCATTACTTGACAGGTGAGTTACACCGTGTTCTGTATTCAAATTGCATGTCAGTAAACCATGCAAAACAATTAGTATTATTGTTCGAATGTCTTGTTGTCTATGCATATGATGTGAAAATCGTAAGGTCATGTTCACCGCGAATACTTCTGGGAATGTGAACTGTTGGCTGTATCTTAGAAAACGACGTTTACCTGAAAAGTGTTTCCCGGCTCTCCCCTGACATCTGTGATAATAACTAATTTACTTTCAAACCTTACTTTTCTTGCGGTTATTTCAGTTTAATGAAAAACAAGCATGTCATTAAACGCAACAGTTATAGAAATCGAACTTTACCTCATCCATGACAACTAATTTTCGATTCCCGTCTGACTGAGTTGAAAACAACAGTTCCCATCATTCCGCGTTCCTCCACGGCGTCATCAAGCAAAGCCGCTGTTGTTGTTTTGAATGTAGCGCCCTCTAGCGGCAGAAAATCTTAGGTATTGTAGCTTTAATGAGATTGCTAATGTTTCATTTGTTCTTTTTTAATGACTGAGTGTGTGGAAGTGTGTATTAGTTGGGCGAGTTGTTCAGGTGCAGAACACTAATGCGAATGAGATCCAAGTGGTTTTTTTTTCCTTACTGGAATCGATAAGAATTGAACAATAGCAGCCCTACCCCTGACCTTTGACCTGTGACCTCTGACCTGTGACAGGTGGTCATCAACTACTCCATAGTGAAGGGTCTGAAGTATAACCAGGCCACGCCCACTTTCCACCAGTGGCGGGACGCGCGGCAGGTGTACGGCCTGAACTTCGCCAGTAAAGAGGAGGCTAACACCTTCTCCAACGCCATGCTGTTCGCCCTCAACGTGCTGAGCAGCGCAGACGGAGGTACACACACACACACACACACACAGTAACAGGATCCGCGGGGTCTGCTAGGTGTGTGTTACGTGTGTTAGTCACCGGACACTGTCGGAGCAGGTTAGAGTCGAGCGCAGGACGGTGATGATCACACACTGGATCTGCCACTGCTTCTGTGTGTGTGTGTACAACGGCCGCTTCGTCCTCTTCAACATGTCCTGTACGTACAGTGTGTGTGTGTGTGTGTGTGTGTGTGTCTCTACGCTTGCTTTGTTTCTGCTGTAAACTTCATCGAGGTTGTTTCTGGGTTTATATTTGTCAACTTATTTGCTATGATGTTCTGTGTGGTTGCTAGGGTGTTTAATGTGGTTGGTTGGGTGTTCTGTGTGGTTGCTAGGGTGTTTAATGTGGTTGGTTGGGTGTTCTGTGTGGTTGCTAGGGTGTTCTGTGTGGTTGCTAGGGTGTTCTGTGTGGTTGCTAGGGTGTTCTGTGTGGTTGCTTGGGTGTTCTGTGTGGTTGCTTGGGTGTTCTGTGTGGTTGCTTGGGTGTTCTGTGTGGTTGCTAGGGTGTTCTGTGTGGTTGCTAGGGTGTTTAATGTGGTTGCTTGGGTGTTCTGTGTGGTTGCTAGGGTGTTTAATGTGGTTGCTAGGGTGTTCTGTGTGGTTGCTAGGGTGTTTAATGTGGTTGCTTGGGTGTTCTGTGTGGTTGCTAGGGTGTTCAGTGTGGTTGCTAGGGTGTTTAATGTGGTTGCTTGGGTGTTCTGTGTGGTTGCTAGGGTGTTTAATGTGGTTGCTAGGGTGTTCTGTGTGGTTGCTAGGGTGTTCTGTGTGGTTGCTAGGGTGTTCAGTGTGGTTGCTAGGGTGTCTAATGTGGTTGCTTGGGTGTTCTGTGTGGTTGCTAGGGTGTTTAATGTGGTTGCTAGGGTGTTCTGTGTGGTTGCTAGGGTGTTCTGTGTGGTTGTCACCTGTATAGTGCTCTATAGACCTCATGTTCCTGAGAGAATAGGAAAAGGATCTCCCGCCTGCAGTCGATTTCGATATTCTCGGTATTATAAACCGGCCGGAGTTTGAGATCGCAATAGACGTGAAGGACTATAATGCGTTAAGAGCTCGCTCAAGTACTGGAGATAAACCATTCAGTGCTTTATAAGTAATCAACAATATTTTATAATGTATCCGATGTTTAATGCAGTGTTGACAGAACCGGGCTAATATGGTCATACTTCCTGGTTCTGGTAAGAACTGGACCGGCTGCGTTTTGGACGAGCTGGAGTTTGTTTATTAAGCGTGCAGGACAACCACCCAGTAGAGCATTACAGTCATCTAGCCTTGATGTCATGAACGCATCAACTAACTGTTCTGCATTCGTCAGTGAGAGCATATGGCTTAATTTAGAGATATTTTTAAGATGGAAAAATGGGGTTTTTACTTTTTTTCAAGGTTTTAGGGCCAATAATTAGAATCTCTGTTTTGTCAGAATTTGTCAGAAAAGTGGTAGGAAATTACTAGTCATCCCGTTTTTTATATCAATTATGTTTCCATTAATTTTTTTAAGTGGTAAGTTTCATCAGGTTGTGTGTGTGTGTGTGTGTGTGTGTGTCAGATGGCGTCGGGTTGCAGTGTTTTCTTGAAACACGAGCTTGAGGAATCGTTGTGTTATAGACGTGTTACAATATTTATCATGTTGATGGAGGATCTGCCATGTGTCTGACTGCAGCGAGGGTTATATTCCCGATGACCCACACTCGTCACTAGGGATGGGTATCGTTAATGTTTTATCGGTATTACTACTCTTACCGATACCGCTTATCGATCCAATACTTTAACGGTATTCTTATCGGTTCTTTTTGGTGTTTTTTTTTAATTATTTTTTTTAAGAATTAAGAACATAATTAAACTCTATATTTTGAAATGTAAAATAGAAAAAGCAAAACGAAGAAAAATATATTTTTGTTATGCAGCAATGTGCAGGCTTTTTTTTTGTTTTATATACAAAAAGGACACATAAGAAAAAAAAAACACAAAGTACAAACACAAGAATACAAGTAATCAAAGATACAAATTATATACAAAGTGCTTTAATTTCAGGAAGGTTTCAGGTAATTGTTTCTGACTGAAAAGAAACCTAATTTAGTAATCAAATATAAAATAGCACTGTATCATAGATAGATTAATGCTTATTAAATCTGAAGTTACTCATTCAAAAGCTGTGAGTGATTTTCTCTGCCTTTTGTTGTTTGATTTGCATTAATGGCTGAATCGTCAGCAGGTTTAGGCTATTAGATATATCGAGTGCATAGGATCTAATGGGACTGATGCACCATCATTTTCTCCCTATTATTTACGTCCATTTAAGACATAATTGTGTTTAAAAGTGAATAAACTGTGTTGAAGTGAATCTCAGAGCTGGTCATTTTGACATTTTTATGTATATTTGATAGTTAAGGAGGTCGCACGAAGCCCAAAGTATAGGCTACTTTTCTTGTCTCGTTGCAGTCCGTTTCGGAGCGCGCACCGCCTTGTGAACAGCGTCTCTTGCGCAGGTTTTTGTGTTTTTAATAGCCATTTTTTGATCTTGCAACAGTAGAAGAAGATCGTGCTGATTCTGACGGTACGTTTGGGTTTTAGGAAGAACTGACAGCGCTCCGCAGTGCTGTGAAGTAGGCTAAAGGACGTTAAGCTGTTGTTTTTTAACGGTTTTATCTCAAATATCTTCTTTTTATAATCTTTGGAAGCCGAAATACAAAATATATTAGAATAATATCCCAGATCTAAAGTGTAACCTCGCTGAATGTTTAGTTCTGTCCTCATTGTCCCTCATTAAGCGTGGGCTGTCGTGTTTTCTGTGGGTGTGTGTGAGCACGGTGAAGGCATCATGTGTGTGTAGCTGTGGTGTGTTTATAGGTGTGAGCGCTGATGAGCTTCATCTGTCCTCTTCATCTCCATCATCATCATCGATCTGAACTGAGATAAACACTCTCCTGACGGATCCACTTGTTTCCCCCTTGAATTAAGTTTATTTTTCAGAGATCTGTTCCTGTTTACGCTCGAACGCTTCACTGACTCCGCTGTGTTTCTGACGCGCGAGTGTCTCTTTCAGGTCCAGCTGTTCAGCGGCAGCTCCAGAACGGGCCGAACACAGAAGAGCTCGAGGTGCAGAGACGGTAGGATGAAATCATGCACCATATTCACACGCACTCCGATATATTACAGCTTTACGGATATTAGTTTTCATATAGTGTGTAATAAAAGTTTCACAGATCAAAGATAAACAGAGTTTTTGTCTCCTAAAAGAAAGAAGTGATTCTGAACTAAAACGAGTAATTCAGTCTCATTAGCATAATACGGTCTTGATTGGCTGAACAGCGTCTCTTGGCCCCGCCCTCAAACACTGCAGTGTATCTGAGACTGGAGGAGTTCGGCTCGTGGTGTTCGTGTCGAGAAGAACAAAGCAAATCCCCTTCGATGAGATTGATCCGGTGAAACCCTGAGATTGAGATGATATGATAATGAGCGTTTGCTTTCTGGCCAATCAGAGCAGAGCAGCTCTCAGAGAGGCGGAGTTAGAAGCGTTTCAGACGCTGAGAGGAAAGAGCTGAAGCTGCCGTGGACATTATGAGGACATTAAAGTGTGTTTGAGCTTTGGATGCGTGTGAACCAGCCTTTAAAACAGCATTATAGGGCTCTATAAATGTGACATGATGAAGCGCACGCACACAGGCGCCCTCTGCTGGTCAGAGGAGGCAGTGGATGCATTATCATGATGCTGTGTCAGCTCCTCCAGCGTCCCATCATGCATCTGGGTCGCTCCACATCTCTGTGTATTGAGCAGATCTGTGTCATCTGATCGATCTTCATCTGATATCTGATGCTGTCAGGCTCATTATTCGATCGGGAATGTTCCTGACCCGTTCTACTGATGCATTATGGGTCCCTAAAGTCAATGGCTTCTTATTATTATAATGAACACATGAGTATGTGATTATAAATGCTGTTCTTTTGAACTTTCAATTCATCAAAGAATCCTGAAAAATGAAGTGTATCACAATTTCACCAAAAAATATGACTGTGTTCAACACTGATAATAATCATAACTGTGTCTTGATCATCAGATCCTCATATTAGAGTGATTTCTGAAGGGTCATGTGACACTGAAGACTGGAGTAATGATGATAAATTCAGGAATAAATGACACTTAACTGTATATTCACATAGAGAACAGATGATTTACATTCTAGTAATATTTCACAATATTTCTGTTTTTTGATCTAATAAATGCAGCTTTGATGAGCAGAAGAGACTCTTTCAATAACATAAAAAAATCTTAATTAATCCAAACTTTTGCGATGCGGTTCATCATGATTTCTCTTGATAGCATAATTCAAATCCTACATGAAATCTGACAGTTTTGCAGTGTGTGACTGTGTGTGCAGTGCATGATGGGAAGGTTCAGTGTGTTTCTGTGTCTGCAGGCAAATGGAAATGCAGGCGCATATCGAGCGGGAGAGGCGATCGTCCAACTCAGGTACGAGCAACCCAGCGCCGATCGAGGACGCTAGCACTGTCAGGGCGGGGGGAGATGAAATGCTTTACAATATTGCCTTACTCCCTTAGAAATAACTAATTGCATTATGGGTTACTTTTTAAAAGTGTCAAAAAAATCAATTCATACTCCACACTCCACACCAGATGGGGGCAGTATAGCTCCAGAACGTGAGTATGTCAAGAAACGGCACAGTCCCTATGCTCCGCCCCTACGACCCTAGCGCCGCCATAGCCGAAGCCGAGCAATAGAATAGAATTAATAGAACGAGGCCCTTTTCTGACTACGTTTGGATGTGCGAGTATTAAACCGTGAGATGGGATGAGGTAATGTAACGCTGACGTGACAGTTGCATAGATGTGTGTGCGTGTGCAACTGTGCATGCTGGGAGTTGCGAACCGGAAAATGTCCGATACCCGGTAACTTTACCAGTAATAACAAAATTAATTTAGTTCATAGTTAACGGCTCCTGAACGCTGTAACTAAAGCTGACCTGTCTACGTGACTAAATGAGCCATCAACCCAGCCGTGTGTGATCTGTTTACATACGAGCTGCGGTAGGTCTATCTGTTGAGTATATACTATATAGCCTACACTAGATATATGTTGTGTGTGTGTCCAAATCAATGAATAAAAAGAAGTTAAACACAACGCCTCTGCTCTTACTCACAGTTTCTCTCAGCATGAGGACAGGAGAGCTGTCGGTCAATAAATGTAATAAAAAGTAACTTGCGTTTCATATTTGAAAAAGAAATTCAGATATTTTGCTGTAAATTTATAATGTTTTACTTTACTAGTTACTTGAAAAAGTAATCTGATTACGTAACTCACGTTACTCGTTCCTGTGTTATTTCACCAGGTTCCCCGTTTCAGGGTCACGCGGTGCTGTCCGTAGCTCCGCCCATTGCCACACCCCCTCCGCTGCTTATGGGCGGCCCCTGCCCGCCTCCACCCCCGCCCGGGCCCCCGCCCCCCTCCACCGGGGCTCCGCCCCCTCCCCCGCCGCCTTTGCCTGCGTGTGGGTACGGGGGCCCCGGGGCCGCGCAGGACGACGGTCAGGGCCCCACAGGACTCGCCGCCATGATCGCCGGAGCCAAACTGCGCCGCGTCAATCGGGTCAGTCAGAAACTCACAACAACAACAACTGCTAAACACATAACATGATCATATTCAGCTTCTTTATCAGCATCCAGGGTTGAATTTTAAAAGATTCTTGATATTAAGAAATGCTCTAAAACATGGTTCTTTTAATAAGGATATGAAGGTTTTATGCATTATAAATAACTCAAACACTGGGTTGTTACGTCTGACCCAGGATCTGGGTAACTACCCAAACTAGTGCTGGGCGGTATACCGGTTCATAGTGAAAACCGGTGTATATTTTTGTTATGATATTAATTTTTAATATACCGCCATACCAATGTATTACATTTTGTTGAATTAAAAAAAAGACGCATGATATAATTTTTTGGTTAAACCGCCCAAACACTAACCCAAACACTAACCCAAACACTAACCCAAACACTAACCCAAACACACTAACCCAAACACTAAGCCAAACACTAACCCAAACACTAACCCAAACACACTAACCCAAACACTAAGCCAAACACTAAGCCAAACACTAACCCAAACACTAAGCCAAACACTAAGCCAAACACTAAGCCAAACACTAACCCAAACACTAACCCAAACACCAAACACTAAGCCAAACACTAAGCCAAACACTAAGCCAAACACTAACACCAAACACTAACCCAAACACTACCCAAACACTAACCCAAACACTAACCCAAACACCAAACACTAACCCAAACACTAACCCAAACACTAACCCAAACACTAACCCAAACACTAACCCAAACACTAACCAAACACTAACCCAAACACCAAACACTAACCAAACACTAACCCAAACACTAACCCAAACACACTAACCCAAACACTAAGCCAAACACTAACCCAAACACTAACCCAAACACACTAAGCCAAACACTAAGCCAAACACTAAGCCAAACACTAAGCCAAACACTAACCCAAACACTAACCCAAACACTAAGCCAAACACTAACCCAAACACTAACCCAAACACTAAGCCAAACACTAAGCCAAACACTAAGCCAAACACTAACCCAAACACTAACCCAAACACTAACCCAAACACTAACCCAAACACTAAGCCAAACACTAACCCAAACACCAAACACTAACCCAAACACTAACCCAAACACACTAAGCCAAACACTAAGCCAAACACTAAGCCAAACACTAAGCCAAACACTAACCCAAACACTAACCAAACACACTAAGCCAAACACTAAGCCAAACACTAAGCCAAACACTAAGCCAAACACTAACCCAAACACTAACCCAAACACCAAACACTAACCCAAACACTAACCCAAACACTAACCCAAACACTAACCCAAACACTAACCCAAACACTAACCCAAACACTAACCCAAACACTAACCCAAACACTAAGCCAAACACTAACCCAAACACTAACCCAAACACACTAAGCCAAACACTAAGCCAAACACTAAGCCAAACACTAAGCCAAACACTAAGCCAAACACTAACCCAAACACTAACCCAAACACTAACCAAACACTAACCCAAACACTAACCCAAAACACTAACCCAAACACAAACACTAACCCAAACACTAACCCAAACACTAACCCAAACACACTAAGCCAAACACTAAGCCAAACACTAACCCAAACACTAACCCAAACACTAACCCAAACACACTAACCCAAACACTAAGCCAAACACTAAGCCAAACACTAACCCAAACACTAACCCAAACACCAAACACTAACCCAAACACTAACCCAAACACTAACCCAAACACTAACCCAAACACTAAGCCAAACACTAAGCCAAACACTAAGCCAAACACTAACCCAAACACTAACCCAAACACTAACCCAAACACTAACCCAAACACTAACCCAAACACTAACCCAGGATCTGGGCAACATAAGAACTACCCAAACACTGAAACAATAACCCCAAAAAGTTTACCCAAAAGGTTCAACCCAGGTTTTGGGTAGAAAAAATAACCTAATTTTTTAGAGTGTAGCGTATAGAAGCAGAACTCCAAAAACACATCCCACATTTTGCATGAAACATCTACATATTTATCCACAAGTTTCCGAGGGGCGCTCCTGTAAAAAATAAAGTGGGTGAAACTTCCGGTGAGGCGGCGGGAGTAGCATTCCAATGGTGTTTTGTGTGTTAGTTAGCGAAGAGGCTAGCTGTTTTTCTGAGAATTATTTTACTATTTAAAGACGCAAATCTTTATGAGAGATGTCGTTACGGAGCTCAGGGACAACATGTGCTGCTCGCGGTTGTATGTATAACCGGACTAAACTAATTCAGTGGCTTAAACGTGATTGTTTTGAACATAAGCTGAAAACGAAATCAGAGTGATCCTGCCAGAGCCCGTCTCTGATCCTGCCAACGACTGTAGTTTCCATCACCTCCCAAAAGACGACGAATCTTCCTGTGTACATTTGTTTAAATTCTTAATATTCTATAAACTCTATCAGCATGTGTTTGGCTGTTCGCTACTGATGTTACACCTAAACTCAGGATCAAAGCCTGTGTTGACAGAATACCAAATGTCCCGTTAATGTATTCAAGCAGCATATTCATTTATAATTTTGAATAAACTCCAAAGCACAATGACTAAGTGTGTATTTTTTATTTGAATTGTTTGTCAGCTCACACAACTGTCTGTCACCATGCCTTGATGAGTATTGATTATTAATAATGTTATTATAATACTCCCAATCAACGACTGCGGAGGGTAAAGGTACTGTTATTTCACCCTTTTTAATTTCGTTGAGGTTGTGTTCCCACATCGTTAGCTAGTTTGGATCGCTATAACTTGAATGACTGTCAACTGTTGAATGAACGAGTGTTAAGCATGTCAAATCGCGCTTTGTTTACTTCCAACCGGAGGTCGCGCCCACTTTTGACGCAAGGCCTCATGGGGCGTAGGAAACTTGTGGATATAAACCCTAAAGAAGGAAGTGATTGAGCTGAGAGCGTGTGTGTCCTCAGCCCGAGGAGAACTCCTCTTCCGGAGCCAAGAGCGAAGCCAACCGGACCAGTGGCGGGAGCGGAGGCCTGATGGAGGAGATGAACGCGCTGCTGGCACGCAGGTGAACACACACACACACACACACACACACACCATAGATCATGACTGCTGAGTAGCTCCGCCCATTCTCACGTCTCATCGGCACTGTGTGTACAGTATATAGACATCAGATATAAACACACACTACGTTTATTTCCCATGACAGACGGAAAGCAGCGGATGAGAAGAAAGATGGAGACAGCCAAACCGTGAGTAAACCATTACTCAAATATACGAATCTCAAACGCAGGCTATTGTTGCGTGTTGTTGAACGATGGAATAGTGGCGGGGTTGTGCTGTTGTGTGTGTGTGTGTGTGTGTGTGTTATTGCCTTGAATGATTCTGATGTGTTTCAGGACGATCTGAACTCTCGTGGGCAGAACGCTTCAGGTAAACGACACATGACATCATCAGGAACCGCATTTACACCGCCGATCTCTTCTTTAACAGTGACTGATATCTGCACTTACACACACTTACACTCGAGGAAACAGCCAAAGGTGGACACAGACGACTGATAGTACTAACCTTTGCTCTCTGCAGCATCTCTCGGACAGGTTTGACCACACATGGGGATGAAGTATAACTATAAGCACAAGGTTTTGTCTCTTGCTGCGTGAACACACACATAACTCATGGCCGTGATGTGAACTGGTTTAATGGTGCTGTGATCAACAGTCTCACTTGTGCTCCTCGTGTCAGAAATGAATGGAGAGTTTCCTCTAGTGGAAGCGTTTGGAACTGCAGCCGAACACACTCTCACTGAACGCTCGTTTACGGAGAGATCGGCTCACATGCGCACACAGTTGTCTTGCAGTTTTAGAGTCAAACGTGTTTTTGAAAATATGTATTGCATAAAAAAATTTTAATAGTATTTTTTTACGTTTTACACAAAAATAAATGTAAAAATGTACAACTTTTTTCATTTCAGCAATAATCTGCCAAGCTTTACTGTGTGTGTGTGTGTGTGTGTGTGTGCGCAGACGGAGTGAAGAAGCCGTGGGACCGAGCGAACTCTGCCGAGCGATCGTCGCTGGTGTCCAGGTGAGAGCAGGAACACACACACTTTACCGTCACACACACTATATGCGCTGGGGTCATGTGACGCGTTTGCCTCCGCAGGGTTCGTCCCGTGGGCAGCATCGGAGACTCCGACGCCTTAGACTTCGACAGGATGAAACAGGTACAGATCGAGCGGTGGATATACACACACACACACACACACACACGTGTTCTCTTCTGCGCTCGTACTCACACACACACACACACACACACACACACGTGTTCTCTTCTGCGCTCGTACTCACACACACACACACGTGTTCTCTTCGACAGGAGATCCTGGAGGAGGTCGTCCGGGAACTGCACAAGGTGAAGGATGAGATCATTGATGGTACGTGGATTGAGTTCTTGGGTTTTATGTGGCGTATCCATTAACTTTTTATATATTGTACAATTTGGATTTCAAATATATATTAATTTCTTATTCAAAGAAATCCTGTTATCCTCCCTCTTTCATCCTTTTCTCCAAAAATGTATTTTAGGTGGAAAAATCAATACAAAATATTGTTTAAGAAAATGTTGGATGTTGGAAAATAACAACGAATAACCAAATGATTTTGAATCTTCGCTATTGCTTTAATGCAGCTGAACAAGAGCGTCAGAGCGTAAAGAGTTTAAATTTGTGCTAAATCTGCGTAATATTCTATATTTAATATATCATGATGACTCGCGAGTTTAAATTTGTGCTAAATCTGCGTAATATTCTATATTTAATATATCATGAGGACTCGCGAGTTTAAATTTGTGCTAAATCTGCGTAATATTCTATATTTAATATATCAAGATGTCTCGCAAGTTTAAATTTGTGCTAAATCTGCGTAATATTCTATATTTAATATATTATGTCTCGGGAGTTTAAATTTGTGCTAAATCTGCGTAATATTCTATATTTAATATATCATGATGTCTCGCGAGTTTAAATTTGTGCTAAATCTGCGTAATATTCTATATTTAATATATCATGATGACTCGCGAGTTTAAATTTTTGCTAAATCTGCGTAATATTCTATATTTAATATATTATGTCTCGCGAGTTTAAATTTGTGCTAAATCTGCGTAATATTCTATATTTAATATATCATGATGACTCGCGAGTTTAAATTTGTGCTAAATCTGCGTAATATTCTATATTTAATATATCATGATGTATCGAAAGTTTAAATTTGTGCTAAATCTGCGCAAAACGCTGTATTTAATATATCATGATGACCACAGTTGATTTTTACCTGCATTTGGTGTGTGTTCATTTCAAACTCAGAGCGTATCGCTGGGAAACTGACGGCGTTTGCTCTTGTTTTCCAGCCATTAGACACGAACTCAGTAGAATCAGCACGACATAATGTCCATGTTTCCCGAGAGCCAAACCCACTGTAGCCGAGGAAGAGGAAGAGGAAGAAGAGGAGAACGTTACGCCGTATTAAAGCCCACAGACGCTAATGCTAACGCGGCGCAGGACACTGCACTGACTTACTGTTCTCTGGAAGAAACTGAAGAAACTACACAACTGTTTTTATGAGGTGTTGTTCTGTTCATTTTCTCTGCATTATTATTATTTTTTTATTATTATGTAGTAGTAGTGTTTTCATGTACACTGCCTTTCAACATTTTTAATGTTTTAAAAAGAAGTCTCTTCTGCTCACCAAAGCTGCATTTATATGATCAAATATACAGTAAAACAGTGAAATGTTATTCTAATGTAAATCATCAGTTGTCTATGTGAATATACAGTAAAGTGTAATTTATTCCTGAATTTATCATCATTACTCCAGTCTTCAGTGTCACATGATCCTCCAGAAATCACTCTAACATGAGGAGCTGGTGATCAAGACACAGTTATGATTATCATCAGTGTTGAAAACAGTTATTTACATGTTTATTTCAGGATTTTTTGATGAATAGAAAGTTTAAGAACCGCATTTATCTGAAATATAATCTTTTGTAACATTATAAATGTCTTTACTGTGAATTTTATCAATTTAATTCATCCTTGATGAGTAAAAGTATTGATTTATTTTATTTATTCCCCCCCCATAAATGTAATATAAGTTCTTACTGAATCCAGACGGTAGTGTTTACTGTTACAAACGCTTCTGTTTCAGATAAATGCTGTTCTTAAACTTTCTATTCATCAAATAATCCTGAAATAAAAATTTTAATAATTGTTTATAATAATCATAACTGTGTGTTGATCATCAGATCCTCATATTAGAGTGATTTGTGTAGGATCATGTGACACTGAAGACTGGAGTAATGATGATAAATTCAGCTTTGATCACAGGAATAAATTACACTTTACTGTATATTCACATAGAAAGCTGATGATTTACATTAGAATAATATTTTGCAATATTTCAGTTTTTGATGTATTTTTAATCAAATAAATGCAGCTTTGGTGGGCAGAAGAGACTTCTTATAAAACATTAAAACTCACCTTTGACTGGTAGTATAGGTAGATGTAAGAATGAATAATAATAATAAAAATTATAATAATAATAATTGCACATCACTTTTAGTATTTTTTATTGCTCTTCATTTTTTTCCTTTGCTTTTTTTTAAAAAAAAGATTCTCAATTTCTCGTTACCTCTCAGTACATTTTTTAAAAGTTTTTTTTAAATCCTTTTTGCCATAAAAATATGTATTTAATCACCGAATGAGAGTTTTTGTCGGATCTCAACCGTTATTATTTCCGTCTGATGAAGAAGCGCCGGAGTATTTGTGATCATGTTGTTAATAAAATGTTTATTGGCTGCAAGGATATGGTGAAGTATTGTTCCGTTTTATGATTTCTCTTTTTGACCAAGTGCTTCCTGGTTTTGAAAAAAAAAAAAAAAAAAAAATAAATAAATAAAAGATATATGTGACATTTGAAAAGAACTGAAATAAAACTGTGACGGATGTGTTGGATGAAGTGTGAGTGTTTCTTTAAGATCTTCCGACCTTCAAATAAAACAGAAACCATATTCATAAATGACAGAAATACATGTTTAAACCCACAACATTTTAAAATATTAACTAAATCAAATGTATAAAACTACATTTGAATATTTATTAAAATATTTGTGTATACAAATTCACAATTTATCTTCAACTGTTTAATTAACACTAATACACAGTGAAAATCTGGATTTTAAAATAATAATTATATAATAAAAGTTTATGGTTTTTATTTATTTTCAGTTTAGAAATCATCAATATTTGAAAGTTAAATCAAAATCATATTACAAAACAACTCGATTTGAATTTATTTACATATTAATGTACAGTGAAAATCTGGATAATTATAATAATAATTACATGATAATAGATTAAAAAGTAAAAACAACACAGTTACATTATCAATAGGAGATGTATTGTTGGTTCAGAAATGAAAACCCACAAACCATAATAATAATATTATCAAAATCATATTTGAATGTATACAAACAACTCCATATGTTTTCAACATATTTATTTATTTTATCAGGGTCAGTACACATTAATAATACATGGAGAAGGATGAAAAATGTGCTAGATTTGATTCCATTCACATTTATTTCTATAGCTCTTTTCACAATACACATCTTTTCAAAGCAGCTTTACAGAAAATGCATGAATCCATAAAACAGTGTACAGTGATCTGTTATCAGAGGAGACTGAGTTATGTATTTCAGAAATAGTATACAAAATCACATTTAGTGAAACATGTAAAGGCAGAAACAGTGATTTAGCCAAATTGGCATCCGTTTATCCAGATTTAAAAATAAAAATAATTTAATGAACACAATCAACACATTAAAATGTAAACACAACAAGCATATAAAATAACAAAATGTATTTTCTGTTTTATGCGCGTGCACGTGAGCAGCCAGTCCCCACCTCTCGCGAGATTTGGAGGTGGAGCGTAGTAGTGGCGGCGTGAATTCATGCGAGAAGTGGAGAGTTATTTGTGTTATCGGAGAGTGTGCGGGTATCAGGGGGTGTGTTTGTGTGTGTTTGCGGGGAAGCGAGCGAGAAATTCGTGCGTTTCACGCAACAGCTAAAGCGAGCAAGCTGGCGGACTTCGACATGGCATCGGGCGAGACGCTGTACATCGAGGCGGACGGCTCGGAGATGCCCGCGGAGATCGTGGAGCTGCACGAGATCGAGGTGGAAACCATCGAGACTACGGTGATCGACGGGGACGACGAGGACGAGCACCAGCCCATGATCGCGCTGCAGCCGCTGGGCACCGATGACCCGGGTCAGGTCCACCATCAGGAGGTGATCCTAGTCCAGACCCGGGAGGAGGTGGTCGGAGGGGACGACGGCTTCGAGGACCAGATCCTCATCCCGGTGCCCGTCCCCGGCGCGGAGGACGAGTACATCGGCCAGACTCTGCTGACAGTCGCGGGGAAGAGCTCCATGGGGCGGGTGGGGAAGCGAGCGGGTTCGGTGGGGAAGAGAGCGGGTAAACGGAGTTACCTGAGCGCGGCCGAGGCCAGCGGGAGGAAGTGGGAGCAGAAGCAGGTGCAGATCAAGACTCTGGAGGGCGAGTTCTCCGTCACGATGTGGGCATCGGGTGAGTGAGTGAATCTATTTCTAGTGCCAGCAGGGCGTTGTCCGTCCGCAACACGCCCTCGATCATTCGCACCGAGAACGCGATTGTACCGGTCCGGGTGTTTTTGTTTTGAACGGAGGCCATGTTTTTATCAGCCGATGGGCGCCGCCATGTTCCCCGAGTCCAGTATGGCGGCCCGTAAACATGGCGCCCGTGTAGCGGGTTGAAGATGGCGCGAGCGCGCGGCAGATGCTGAGTGTAGGCCGCGCGCGCTGCGGCTCCCGAGTCCCGACCAGGAGACCGTTAAACAGTCGCACGGTTTGAATACCAGATTCAGCGGGCTGTGCTCGCGCCACTTTAGATTTAAAAATCCGAGACGGTTAATCACTTTTACGTTTGGACCTGAAAGTAGCTGTGAAGAAGACCGAACTACTGATGTGTGTTCGTGTGTTAATTAACATAATTTAACGTTACCCCTGTGGATTTACTCTTACGTGGTTAAACGATTCATATGTCAGATTTATAGCAGAAATCATCGTGCGTGTGTGTTGTTTATTTGAACTTTTGATGGTTTAAAAGTGGCTTGAAGTCGCTTGGAGGACCCGGATGTGTCGCCGAGGTTGTTCGTGTAGAACTGCAGCTCCGGAGCGAATTCATTTAAACTCCACTACATTTCGAATCGTTGACTCGTTTGAACCATTAACGTTAGGCTTTGTGTTTCAGATGACAAGAAGGACATCGATCATGAGACTGTGGTGGAGGAGCAGATCATCGGGGAAAACTCTCCTCCGGATTATTCCGAGTACTTGACGGGAAAGAAACTCCCGCCTGGAGGAATCCCGGGAATCGACCTGTCAGACCCGAAGCAGCTCGCAGAGTTCGCCAGGTCAGAGACACTCACGGTCACTGCTGAATAATAGAACCACTAAATGTGCTGGATTCATTTTAAAGGTAACCTGATGTGTGTGATATATAATCAGGATCATAAATGAATCTGGACGCAAAGTAAGTGCTTCCGATATTAAAATGTGGGCAGAGAACTTTATTTGGATATAAAGTAACTAACGTTAGGGGTGTAACGATTACCTCATGTCACGATTCGATACATATCACGATATTATATTATTGCGACAATCCAAGACATGGTAAAAGGTTAACAAAAAATGAAAGTTGATTAAAATGCTAAATTTGTTATTTCATTGTGGATGTGACGTCAAATAAATAGGCTTGGATTTGCTGCTGAAACCCAAAGCAGGACATTAGAGACACCAGAATATCAATATGATTCTGAAGTTGGAAACTATTTTAGACGAATATTCTTGCACTCTTTCACTGACTAGGGAAATATAATATAATAATGTAAATAATGAAGGCTGCTTTATGTATATATATATATATATATATATTAGTAGTTTAATTATATTGTAGTTTAATTTTATTTAATTATATTGTGAATATATTGTGACATGATTTATTGTTGCACCCCTAATATAAATCATACCTATATTTATTTACTGTCTCAGATGTGAATCTGATGAAACTTTCAAGTCAGTTTAAGATCTGTGTATTAGGGCTGGGTATTGTTAAAAAATATATATATATATCTAATATCGATACTGATACTTTGACTTCAATATACCGGTTCCTGAACGATACTTTTTTTCGACACCAATTTTATGAAATCCGTTTTAACAAGATTATATTAAATATTGAAATTTTTTTTTTTTCAGTTTCTTGACACTTTTTATTGTGTGTATGTATGTGTATATATATACACACCACTGGGGGGCAGAATATGTGCCTCGCAAATAAAGCTTGCCACAAATCACTGGCAAAAGTAGTCTAATGATTATAAATGATATTTTTTTTTAAATAAACTAGTGTTTTCTGAGTCAGTGTAGACTGGTCATCTCCACATTATAACGAACACACACGTCTATAGAGCAGAGAGTGTTTGTTTTTCGAATCGGTTCGTTTAAAATCTCCAGCTTTCCTTATGCCTATTCCTCATGTCTGTGAAGCAAGTATCCTATACGCCAAGTTGGCAGCAATTATCTCTCGAAAATATAGCATCAAACCTGGAGAAACGTAGCCACACTTTTGATCTTGGTGTTTGGGACGCATACACACTACAGCCTCACGTAACCGGCGTATAAGCTCGTGTTTTTCAATGATGCCTCGCCACAGCCAATCATTCTGCATGTTTATCGGCTCACTGACGTTGACGAGATTGACCCTTTAGGCAAGAGATTTATTTGATCTTCAATTTGGTCGGTGGTTGGAACAGAACTCGATACCCAGCCCTAGTGTGGATGCAGCCAATATCAGTTTCTGTGAAAAATGAAAATCTTTTTTTTTTATTTTTTTTTATTCATGTTTATCTTTTTGAAAGACATTAAATTGCAAGTAACAGGACGTTGGTCTTCTGAGATGGTTTGGACGCAGCATGTTTTGACGTGACATTTACTGTTAGTTGTTTTGTTTCTCAGCCCCCTCGGTAACAGTGGCGGTCATTTTGCTCGTAGTCCCGTTCGGTAAGTCTAAGATTGGGGAATAACGTTACACTGGTCACATGAGGGGCTTTTTATTGGTCACTGGGTAACTGCATCGAGAAAGGGTGGAAGTGTTCTGAATATGATGAGCATTCTGGGATATCTGAGCAGTGATTGTCTTCGTGTTTGTCTAGAATGAAGCCCAGGAAGATCAAGGAGGACGACGCGCCTAGAACGATAGCCTGTCCTCACAAGGTGAGCGGATCGCTCCGTTTGTTTTCATCCGATCGAGGCTTGACGTGTGCAAACCGGTGTTTCTCTGCTGTGTTTCTCACAGGGATGCACTAAAATGTTCAGGGATAATTCAGCCATGAGGAAGCACCTTCACACGCACGGGCCGCGGGTTCACGTGTGCGCAGAGTGCGGAAAGGCCTTCGTGGAGAGCTCCAAATTAAAGCGCCATCAGCTGGTTCACACAGGAGAGAAACCCTTCCAGGTACGCCGTCATGCACTCTGTAACATCAAGGTTTTTCATTGGGTCGTTGTGGCAGCGGGGCTCTTTTAGATGCCAAACCCCTAAAAATGATTCTCTGCTTTAGATTATTAAAATGACGAAAATAAAAATCACTGTCCGTTTAAGAACTGACCAATGGCTGCGTTTACATGCACCGCTTCTGTTTGAGCCGCACTGTTTGAGGAGTTTACGTGTGATTGGGTCCATGTGTGTGTTTATATGTCACACACTTCAAATCAGGATATATTATATATACACGAATATACAGAGTTTCTGCTGAGCGAGCACACTACTCTATTTCTACGTCATTTCATTGTTCTTGCGCTGTTCCTAAGTCATTGCATATGCGCAGTGATTTCAGATTCGGTTTTCAATCCGGTCAAGTGATGAAATGTTCTCTCCATCGGATTGGAGAAGGAATAAACCACGGTTGCATGTAAACGTAGGCAGTGAAGGGTTCTGAGATGAGCGTCTCGATTGATATTGATATTGCTCATCTGCTCTGAGATGAGTTGCAGAGTGACTCTGACACACAGAAGTCTCCTATCTCAATGAAAAATGTGTTTTTAAACACACGGTTAGTGTCATTGCAACATGAACACTACATGCTCTTCCTTAACCCGATTAAAGGAGGAGTTCACTTCAGAATGAACTGGTTTACTCTCTCCTCCTCATCATAGATGTTCATGTGTTTCTGTCTTCAGTGGAAATGAGTGTTTTTGAGGAACACACTCCAGGGTTTCTCCATATAGTGTCTTCAATGGGGTCTGACGGGTCGAAGGTCAGATGTGAGGTCTCGACACGATCCAGCCGAGGAATAAGAGTCTGATCTAGACAAACCAGCGACATTCAGAACAAAATAATGAATGAATGAAGCCACAGTACAATACACACACACACCGACACACACACACCAGCTACAGGTGGAGAGGAGAGAGAGTGATCGAGTCAAAGGTCAAGCGGGACGTAGACGGAAGACCCATTTACACACAAAAAAGTGATGTCAGGCGATTTTGAAGTTGGAGGAGAAAATAAGGAGTTCTTCGCTTGTGACCTTTCACCCTGATGACGTAATGTGTGTCGCAAGACCAGCATTAGTGGTTCTAAAGTGTATTTTGTTCTGAATGTCGCTGGTTCGTCTAGATCAGACTCGTATTCCTCGGCTGGATCGTGTCGAGACTTTGAAGCTGCACTGAACTCGCATCTGACCTTCGACCCATTGGACTAGGGCTGAACGATTAATTGCATTTGCGATAAAATCGCGATATGATGAAACGCGATTTTGTAATCGCAAGATCTGCGATTACACTGATCACGTGACACGCGAGAGAAAAGCAGTCTGCAAGATCAAGCATCAACTTGCCACGCTACGCGGTCTGGCGTTCAGAAAAGAACAGTTTATTGTGTTATTTATTCTCTCCTCAACAATCCTGGATTGATTCAGAGAATTTCGGAATCGAGTATGAGCTTATAGTTTTTAAACACAGATGCGTGATGACGCTGCGCGTGCTTTAGAAACCAACCGTGAACTGAATCTGCTTGCTTCTATTCTCTCTCTCTCTCTCTTCCTCACTCACACACACGACACCGCTCGAACCTTACAAAACAAGTTCGGGATTGAACCGAATTACAAGGACATTCGCGGGCTTCATTGAACAGGTTTTGCCGCTTTGCTTGATGTTATAACGTTACAGTGCGCGTTCTTTCTCTCCCGCGGGAATTTTACTTACAAATGCTTCACAGAGGCATTATTTATGTGTTTTGGAATGCAGTTGGCTTATTAAAACCATGAAAATCACTGAGAGGGCTGCTTTCATTTTAAAATACTAACGCGTGCTTTGTGAAGAGCGCTCGTGCATGCGGCCGTGAGCGACACATTGGTAAATGTACTTGCATGTCAAAATGCTTTTATGACGCGAAATTAATGTAAACACGGTCAGTTGTATTAAACCAACAGGACAAACCACATTTACAATTTCAAAAGAGATATACTGTATGCATTAGTGTGAATGCAGCTTATCGTATCTAAACTGAGGGGAAATCACTCCAGCTCTTGAATGAAAAACATTCAGACAGCCTACTTTTAAATACTGAGACCACTCTTTCTTTATTGCTTGTAATGTTTTTTTTTTTTTTGTTTCTCTTTATTTACTAGCTTTTATATTTTGAAGCTATATTATTTTATATAGCCTATTTAAAATTCTTAACATGTAATTGGTTTAATTAAATGTTTTTTATATTTATTTTTATGTGTTTTTACACATGTAATTAAATACACATTTTAAGAGTTATTAAGATTAATTAATAAGAAAAAAAGTAGATCGGATCATGAGCTATCTAAAGATTCCCATCCCTACTGTACAATGATTTATTGCTTGTCTTTGTCGACTAATACAGAAGGTAAATAACTTTTTTTTTTTTAAATCGCATATTAAATCGCAATCGCAATATTGGTTAAAAAAATCGCAATTAGATTATTTTCCAAAATCGTTCAGCCCTACATTGGACCCCATTGAAGACACTATATGGAGAAACCCTGGAGTGTGTTCCTCAAAAACACTCATTTCCACTGAAGACTGAAAGACTATGATGAGGAGGAGAGAGTAAACCATCAGGAAGTGAACTCCTCCTTTAAGCTTTTGCATTTTAGAGAATACTCATTTTGATGTTCCCTTACATTTGGTGTTAAATAAGTCTCGAACCCCTCCGTGTTGCGGTTTCTCGCTCTGACTTCCTGTGTTTGATTGGCGGTTGTGTGACGCTGTCCTCTTCTGGTGTAGTGCACGTTCGAGGGCTGTGGGAAGCGCTTCTCGCTGGACTTTAACCTGCGGACGCACGTCAGGATACACACCGGGGACCGGCCCTACGTTTGCCCGTTCGACGGATGCAATAAGAAGTTTGCTCAGTCCACCAACCTCAAATCACACATCCTCACACACGCCAAAGCCAAGAGCAGCCAATGAACTCGCTCCACCCTGGCGGACCGTAACGGACTGAACAAGCGAACCGTTCAGGAGCCCCGACTGATGATGATGATGGTCTTCATTTCCCCCACTTGTACTTCAGTCTCTGGGCTTCATAGATATATAGCTTTTAATTTTCTATTTCTCCAAGTGTGCATATTGTACACTTATTTTTGGGATATGCTTCGTAATGCGACCTGAGAGTTTATGACACAGACTGGGTGATGATGCGTGTGAACGATGCGTACGCTTCTGTGACGATCTGGGTGTGTGTGTGTGTGTGTGTGTGGAACGGCTGTAGGGATCATGTGGAGTCGGTCGCGCCGCATCATTGACGGTAAACTGCAGTGTTACCTGTCCTTTCTTTTCTTTCTTAGAATGTACTGTAAAGGTCTGAACATGAACTATCCTTTGTTAATATTTACACGCCTGTATTTCAGCAAATGCGATTAAAGAGGGGAAACTGTCTGCGTTCTGGAGTCCAGGTGACATTAATGAGCTTTCAGACTCTTCCCAGAGTTCAGTGTGATGAAGACATGTGATAGGAGTCAAAGTATGAAGAGATTCACACACCAGATTTAATTGTTGATATGTTTTCACGAGTGTGATCAGGACACTATAGTTCATGTGTGTGTGTGAGCAGAATAAAGTAAACTGCACTATATTACACACACACATTCTTCACACAGAGACTACAGTGACATTTACACACATTACACACACTCTGAGCTGATGATGTTCTGCTGAAGTGTGTTTTCTGTCATTTACACACACACGTTCAGTGGTTCATTGGTCACTGGTTGAGCTAAACTGGTATTATCTAATTGAACAGCTGACAGATATTCAACATAATTCATGTGTGAGAGTCCAACAGAAGGACGGACAAAACCAGTCACACATCCACTGATCTGAGACCTGAGTTCTGCTCATCTTTATAAACTGATGATGATGATGTCGGAGTGTGTGAATACACTGGTTTGACTGTATTTAGATTTTTTGTCTGATTTATCGGCCGATGTATCGTGATCGGCTTTCACTTATATAGAGTTATCAGTACCGAAACTATATCTATATATATATATCTTTGTTTTAGTAATTCAACTTAAACTTATTTTAAGTGACATTTCTAGTTTATTTGATTTATTTATTTTTTTTTAATTACCAAAATGATTTTTAAGACTGAAAAAACTTAATTTAGTATTTTTCTTGAGACCGTCTTCACTCAGAGATCGCAACATTGAATTAAACACGCAATTAAAGCAGAGACTGAAACTGAATTTTTGTTTAATTTGCCATTTTGAAAAGAGTTTTGTTAGGGATGCATATCGGTATCGGCCGATATATGTTCATTTTTAATGTTATCGTTATCGGCCTGGTAAGAAAATGTGGCCGATATATTAAAGCCGATAAATAATGTATTATTCCCTTCAGCTGAGACGCTTGTTGAGCACTGTTTATGTATTTGAATTTCTTGAAATATGATTGAAATCTCTTCAAAAAATAAAAATACGGTTCGGTACAACATGTGCAGCGCAAATCTGTCATATCGGCTATACAACACAATAATGAGAACATCATTATAATCGTGCGCTTGGGACGTGGATTTAATTGTGAGACTTGTATTTGTAATCAGGTTCTCAAAATTAGGTAAAAATTTGGATTTCAATTTATCGGACGATATATCGGTTATCGGCTTTCAAATATAAAGAATTATCGGCTATCGTAATTGTGTTTCGGGATGCCGTTTGTGTGTGTCACACACACACACACGCTTACATCATGAGAAGACATCCTGATCTGAACAGTGATAGTGTGTGTGTGTGTGTGTGAGAGAGAGAGAGAGAGAGAGAGAGTGTGTGTGTGTGTGTGTGTGTGTGTGTGTGTGTGTGTATGTGTGTGTGTGAGAGAGGGAGTATGTGTGTGTGAGTGAGAGAGTGTGTGATAGTGTGTGTGTGTTTACGTCAAGTGGTCAGTGCCGTCAGTACGCCGGTGCTCGTCTGACGCGACACACTTTCATTACACAACACTAGAGTTCCTGAAGACCAAAGTGTACACACTCTCGCACACTCTTGTCACACACACACTCTCACTCTCGCACACTCTTGTCACACACACACTCTCACTCTCGCACACTCTTGTCACACACACACACTCACTTGCACACTCTCACTCTCACACACTCTTGTCACACACACACTCACTCTCACACACTCTCACACACACTCACTCTCACACACTCTTGTCACAATCTCACTCTCGCACACTCTTGTCACACACACTCTCACACTCTCACTCTCGCACACTCTTGTCACACACACACTCTCACACTCTCACTCTCGCACACTCTTGTCACACACACACTCTCACACTCTCACTCTCGCACACTCTTGTCACACACACACACTCACTTGCTCACTCTCACTCTCACACACTCTTGTCACACACACACTCACTCTCACACACTCTCACACACACTCACTCTCACACACTCTTGTCACAATCTCACTCTCGCACACTCTTGTCACACACTCGCACACTCTTGTCACACACACACTCACTCCAAGGCCCTGCTGGAAGAAAACACTCAGCTGGAAGACTGACCACTAGAGGTCAACACACACACACACACTCTCACACAGACACACACAATTGATTGTGTGAGTGTGTGTGTGTGAGAGAGTTTGTGTGTCGAACATTGCAGGTTATTTTAGCTTGTGCCGCCTCTCTCTCTCTGTGTGTGTGTGTGTGTGCTGCTCTGCATGTCTCTGTTACCGTGGCAACATATTTCTGCATATAAAATCAGATCAAAATGCAGCAGAAACACTTCTGAACGCAACATGAGAAGAATCAGCGTAAATAAGAGTGTGTGAACACATGACTGAACACACACACACACACACTCGACTGACCGCAGCTGCATATCAAGCAGCCAATCAGTGATGCAGATGCTGAAATACCACACACACCTTCTGTTTGTGTGTGTGTGTGTGTGTGTTCTTCTAGCAGGGTCATGGAGTGAGTGTGTCTGTCTCTCTCTCTCTCTCTGTGTGTGTGTGTGTATGTCTCTCTGTATTCACCGCCACTAATCGCATTCAATATTAACGAGGATGTTCGTTCAAACCGCATTTGCCTCCATTAATAATGCACACGCGTGGAATTGCTCCTGCATATTATAATTCTTTGTTTATGATATCTGCAGATCTGGTCTAGAATCAGCCGCTTATTCCTCGTCAATAATGCAGAGTGTGATGATGAAGAGTAAACATGAACGACTGCTTCATCAGATGAACTGCTCAGGAAACCCAAATTAATTTCTGTAAGTGCGGTGTGACTCCGGGCTCTGCTGTATTACATCAGTTCACACACACACACACACACACTGATTTATTATAGTTTGTAGGATTTGTAATAGTAAATGTCAGCGATTGAATGGGAACACCCGTTTCTTTAAATCTTTTGTGATTGTTGTACTTTTAACAATGAAAATATGCCTTTTAATGCGATACACTTGACAGTAAAGGTTCATTAGTCACTAACATGAGCAATACATCTGTTAAAGTGTTTATTAATCTTTGTTAATGATAGTTCACAGTGCATTAACTATAATGTTAACAACACTTTAATGTTGAAATTAATATTACCTTAGATTAATAAATGCTGTAGAAATATTGATCATTCTTAGTTCCTGTAACTAATGAACCTTATTGTAAAGTGTTACCGTTAATCTTAATGTTAGTTTCAAAACATCATTAGTTAATGCACTGTGAATTAATATGAACATAATAATTAAAAAAATGACAAAAATTAAGATTTTTTAAAGTCCCCCTGTGGTGTAAATCCAGCGTTTAATGTTGTTTATGTGTGTGTGTGTGTGGTGTTTTTAATCCGCTTTAACACACACCGTGTGTAAGTTGATAAGTGGACAGCATTGCTGAGTATTTCCTCCTTAAAACTGGAGTGAACCAAAGACAGTCTCAAAAACATGGTTTCTGACGTCACAAACCACCTTGTAACCAATCAGATCAACGTGTGATCGACAACCAGTGGATCTCTGAGTGAGTGAATTTGCATATAGAACCGCGCATACTAAATGAGGCAAGGGTGTCATGTTACATGCAAGATATTTTAAGGCATGAAGAAAACGCATTTAAATATGCAATTTTGGTGATTAAATATGAGTTTTAAGGGATACAATGATTGACTACAGACAAATCTTTATAAATGCTGTAGCCTACTAAATATACTGTTCATACACACACACACAAAAAAATACCATTTTCACTCAGAAGTAGCTTCTAAAATTCACAAGCAATTAAAAATTAACGACAAGGAACGTATTAAATTAAACATGCAGTTTTGCAGTGTAGCCAAGGGATGAAATGGTATTTTCTTGTAAAACCATCCAATAATCTTTATGTGTCGTTAGTTCACGCAAACTAATGCATTACCTGAAGCGGAGTTTATGCAAATCAATTAATCTCACATGTAAGTCATAAAAATGGTGGTAAAATACAATAAGGCAATTCCATATTTTCTTTTAATATTAATAGTAATATATTAAATAGAAGCTCCTCCGTTGATGTTAATCTCTGCTTTATGCAGATCATCTTTACTGATGTGAACCTTCAGGACTCAATCGCATTTTAATATCGAGGAGATGGAGAACACCTGATGGGCACGAATTAACGAGTCATTAATCGACATCGCAGGCTCGTTTGAACAAGATCATGATCCTGATGCTCATCCCACGTGACACACACACACACACACACACACTTGTCTTTAGTGTTGAGACTCATGACTGAAACTGCTCGTCTCTCAACGTTTCTTTGAACAATTACAGGATCTCGCCTCAGTCTCCTGAGAAAGGCAAGGATAACACTTCTAAAAATAATTACCCAGCATGCAGTGCAGCTCTTCACTGCGAGACGTGTTGCTTCATCAGACACGGCGAATCTTCTGTGACGGTGCGTTTCTACCTGAGTGCCTTTTACAGCGAGATGTATTGCCTTTTCCCTTTAATATCAAATGCATAACTGCACAGGATCCATTTCTAGCTAACAATGAATATTCTCTCGAAAGTTATGAACAAACGGTCTTCTGGAGTTTTAATAATGTTCCCAAAACGCCAGCGCAAAATGGCTAATCTGTGTTGATGGTTTTCTGAGGCGGTTCATAACCGTTACTCGAGGACGTTCAGAGGACTTTAAAAGTCTTTTTTCTTGTTAAATGTAAAAATGAAATGTTCAATAAAAGGCCCGTTCACACAACATATAAAGATATAGTTTTAAAAATAGAAATGTAAAAATTTTAGAACGATTTTTTTTTCTAAAAACACTGACAGCCAATCAAAATCCCTCCTGCTTTAAAGAGACAGAGACACTGCAGCGCTTATAATAAACGGAGCAATATCATGTATTGGATTTGGCGTAGATTCAGTTCTAGTTCTTGTATTTGGTGTGAAATGCAAAA